AGAGTCAGTTCGCGGTGGCAAAATGTATAGCCTCGTGTATACAAAATTATATGCACACATATATCACACGATCCCGTTATAGAGGTGTGGGGGAAAAACATGAGAGGAAGAGAGGGAGAGAGAGGGAGAGGGAGAGAGTGAGAGAGAATGAGAGAGAGAGGGAAGGGAGGGCAGTGTGAGTGCGCCTCTGTGTATTTCCCAGTACAAATATACACCACGGGGTCCTTTTTGGTTCCGTGGTTAATGCAAGAAAAGTCATTCCCTTCCAATTTCACCGTCCTGCGTCCGCTGTCACGCACGGCCAAGGCGGAAGAGAGAAGGACGCAAGGATTACAGTTACGGGCTGCCATTCTGCTTACACATTCGGGTTATCATGGGTTCCTTACCGCTCACCGTCACTTTATGTGTTTTCCCAGCTGTAACCGACCTAAGCATGACACTGACATATGATTGCATATCAGCGATTAAATTATTATTATTCTTTTAGTACTGGTGAAGTTGACATTTCGTAACATAGTAATATTTTTCTCTTTTTTTGTTGCAGGCTTAGGAAATGATTAGGGAGGTTTGCCACATATTTCAGTATCTTTTATGACCAGCTAAAAGTACAGTGTGCCCTTCCGCACTCACAAACAGCGAGGCCCGGTACGAAATCCAGTGACGATTACTGGGTAAAAATAAAAATCCTACTCATAATCGTCATATAACGTTCCTTATTAGGCTATTATGTAATGGGGTTGTATTCTATGTAATGTGCAAATAACTTTCCTCCTTTCCACATATTAACCGTCATTCATATGATTGATATATTGAAAAAAAACACGCATTCATAATAACAAACTGCAAGATGCCCAGTCGTAAAGCTACGGATCAGAAAGCTGATACTATAATGGTTTTGCTGGGGGCAGCGCAGCGCAACATGGAGCCAAAATGGCGATCTACTTGGCAGTTTCCCTAACTGTTCGAAAAGTTGGACATTAATCTTAGAGCATCGCTGCCATCTTGTGGCCAAATATGGGAACAACATATTTTTAATTCACAGTGAGTAAAAACGGTTCGAAAAATAATCTTTTTGTATAATTAAATATGTACTGATTTTGTGTTTTAATTATACGTATAACTATACATTTATTATATATATTTATTTGAAATATATTGATTTTTTTCCACAACTCTGACTAAGATAACAGATGGATGTTTTTTTTCACCATTATCCTTGTTTCTTAAAGTGGTCATTATGTTGTGTCAGTTGTGTCCATCAGTAAACCAACTGTCATTCCTCAGTAAGTTTTTTGGCCATGTGACCAGTGGTTAACCAAACTTGTCTCCAGACAGCAGTCAGCAGTTAGAGATACGTAATGTATATTGCCTAAGATCAGGGCTGGATCATGGTCCTGTTAGGGCCCTGACCACTTACATTTTGGGGGCCCCTCTGTCACAGGACGAAGAGGGGAGGGTTAGGGGACAAATTCCATGTAAATGGCCTTTATTTATGTTATGTTTATGTTTTACCTATCTTGCTATGTTGCAGTTTGTCAGGTCAGCACCTACCAAAATTTATCTGACAAGCTGACAGCAATATTGGGCAATATGTCAGGATCAGTGCCACTCTAGCCCATTTCCCATGTGTCTTGTCGCCACTAGGCCAGCAGGTGTCGCTGACCATCCTGTTCCCTCATCTGTCCCATAGCCCATAGTCCATAGTGTGTTCTCCGTCTCCCTGGGCTGCTTTGTGACTTAACGGGCTTAGTGATTGGCCACTATTCCCACCTCCCCTTTTGTTGTGGGTTCAACGATGGCCAGATCGAGTCTCAACTAGCTGTTTTTTTTAGCAGCTGTTATTCTTTGTTCTCTTGGTTTATTAAGTGCATGTATTCCTGTTACAGTCCCTCGTTTTTGCTCCCTATTCCCTGGTTATATTATGGTCTGTTTTCTTTGTTTCCCTTGGTATTTGAACCAGCTGTACCCGTCATTTGACCTCACCTGCTCCTTGTTGCCCCTGTTTCTATATGGCCCACACCCGATCTTGTCAGTTGTTGTGATCTGTGAATGTAAGTGTCTGCCTTTGTTCTATGTGTTACTCAGTCATTGTAGATATTACTGCATGTTTGTAGATGTGGTTGTTTTCTAGTCTTGCTCTTTCTTTTTGCTCTTTTCCTAAATTATGCTACATTGTGGTTACTTTTAGTTCATTCTTATTTTTTCCTGTTTTGTTCTTGACAAACCTTGGGACCACAAGGTCCCTTTGTGTTCCGGTTTCCCCCTTTTGTGTTCTGCTAATAAACCCCATTTTCATTGTGAGTTGCTCCCTGGTTTGTCCCTCTTTTCCATCCTTCACCATGTCCCACTGAAACACATTATTTCTAAGGCACTCAGGGGGTAATTTTACTAAAGGCATGTTTTGGATTAACAACAAAACTATAGCAACAAAACATGAAAATGTCAAGTCTATTGTTTAGCACTAATAACTGTCTAGCTGGGATGATGACCACATCCACATAGTTACCTAGCTAGTTAGCAGTACAGTGGTGGCCAGAAGTTTTGAGAATGACACAAATATTGATCTTCACAAAGTCTGCTGCCTCAGTTTTTATGATGGTAATTTGCATATACTTCAGCATGTTATGAAGAGTGATCAGATGAATTGCAATTAATTGCAAAGTCCCTCTTTGCCATGAAAATGAACTTAATCCCAAAAACCATTTCAGCCGGGCCACAAAGGACCTGCTGACATCATTTCAGTGATTCTCACCTGTGTTAACAAGGCCAAGGCTGGAGGTCACTCTGTCATGCTGACTGAGTTAGAATAGCAGACTGGATGCTTTAAAAGGAGGATGGTGCTTGAAATCATTGTTCTTCCTCTGTTAACCATGGTTACCGGCAAGGAAACACGTGCAGTCATCACTGCTTTGCACAAAAAGGGGCTTCACAGGTTAGGGTATTGCTGCTGGGAAGACTGCAACTGAATCAATCATTAGTCGGATTATGAAGAACTTCAAGGAGAGAGGTTCAATTGTTGTAAAGAAGGCTTCAGGGCACCCAAGAAAGTCTAGCATGCACCAAGACCGTCTCCTAAAGTTGATTCAGCTGTGGGATTTGGGCACCACCAGTGCAGAGTTTACTCAGGAATGGCAGCAGGCAGGTGTGAGTGCATCTGCATGCACAGTGAGGCCAAGACTTTTGGAGGATGGCCTGGTGTCAAGAAGGGCAGCAAAGAAGCCACTTCTCTCCAAGAAAAACATCAGGCACAGACTGATATTCTGCAAAAGGTGCAGGGATTGGACTGCTGAGGACGGGGGTTAAGCCATTTTCTCTGATGAATCCCCTTTCCGATTGTTTAGGGCATTTGGAAAAAAGAGTAGAAAAGGTGAGTGCTACCATCAGTCCTGTGTCATGCCAACAGTAAAGCATCCTGAGACCATTCATGTGGGGCTGCTTCTCAGCCAAGGGAGTGGAATCACTCACAATTTTGCCTAAGAATACAGCCATGAATATAGAATGGTACCAAAACATCCTCCGAGAGCAACTTCTCCCAACCATCCAAGAACAGTTTGGAGATGAACATGCCTTTTCCAGCATGATGGAGCATCGTGCCATAAGGCAAAAGTGATGACTAAGTGGTTTGGTCCCGACATTTTGGGTTCATGACCAGGAAACTCCCCAGACCTTAATCCCATTGAGAACTTGTGGTCAATCTTCAAGAGGCGGGTGGACACACAAAAACCCACAAAATCTGACAAAGCCCAAGCACTGGTTATGCAAGAATGGACTGCAATCAGTCAGAATTTGGCCCAGAATTTTATTGACAGCATGCCAGGGCAAGTTGCAGAGGTCTTGTATAAGAAGGGCCAACACTGCAAATACTGGCTCTTTGCATAAACTTTATGTAATTGTCAATAAAAGCCTTTGACACTTATGAAATGCATGTAATTATACTTCAGTATATCATAGAAACATCTGACAAAAAGATCTACAAACACTGAAGCAGCAGGCTTCGTGAAAATCAATATTTGTGTCATTCTCAAAACTTCTGGCCACGGCTGAAAAAATATGCTTTTGAATGAGCACATGAAATACTGCAGCAGGAGCTGTGATATAAGCAGCACAACATCCTTCAAGGTTCCCGGCTATTTGGAATTAACAGTCTTGTGAAAGTATACTATAAAATGGCAACCAGCGTATCGAGGATGGGGGCCAGTGACCCTGATGTGAATTTCGCATGCAGAGGGGCCAAAGGGCGCTGGTGGTCAGCTTGTGCTCTATATGCCTGGGGCCCTGCTGCTGGGGCCCTGCTGCTGGGGCCCTGGGGCTAATCTCTTGCTGTTGATGCAGAGGCCCTTGGTGATCAGCTCTCAGTGTATATGCCAAGGGGCCCAGACGGCATGGTGGTAGTCAGCTTGCGCTGCAAAAGGCCCTTGGGCCCCCTGGTGGTTGTGCTGTGCATGCACAAGGGCCCGGGGCCCTTGACGGCTAATTTGCGCTGTATATATCAAATGACCCTGATGGGCAACTTTTGGTCTATATGCAGAGAGCCCATGTGGTGAACTTGCTATGTATATGAGGGTCATGGTGTTTATTTTGCATCATGTATGGTACTCATGGCCACTAGTGCTCCGAGGCCCCCTCCAGCCCGAGGCCCTGGAGCACAGGCCCCACAGTCATGCCTAAGACAGTCCATTTCAAATGCTAAGAACTTTGTTCTGATATGATCTTTTCAATTCCCCGCCGCGAATGTTATGCCTATTGAGCCTTTCTGTAACTGTAGAAGTAGCGTAGAGTGGTGCGATGCAAATACCATCATCTTGTTTAAAAATACATATACTTTTCATCACGATGTATCAAATGTTTGGTGCAAACAGTGCTAAGAGTGTTTCTGTTTCAGTCCTTCATGCTCATTTGCCTGCAAAGCAAAGTGAGTTTTAATTATTCTAAATCCTGCCTAATTGCATTATATAACTAGTTAGCACAGGTGATGTGAAACACGAGACACACAAAGCATATGTGATGTAACTTTCTTTTTTATTTGTTTAATGTGTATGGTTTAGCTAACCCAGGGGACAAGTATAAAGTTATTTTTTACAAAACTCAAACAATACATCAAACCAAATTGGACTTGACAACAAACCCAGTGCTACAGGTTCTTTTTTTTATTTATTTCACCATTAGTTCTGGGCTCACAGTTTGGCCCCGTCGTGCGTCTGTGCCTGAGTAATACCAGGCAATCGACTGGCGGGACAGTGGATATCCCATGGAAAGATGGCACTAGAACATTCAATACCATTTACTAACAAATGGTGCAAATCCCTTCTATGTATGAAACAACAACCAAATTCTCTGAAAATGATCTAAAGCTACCTTACATGTGACAGGACAGTGTCTCACATCTGCATTCATGCATTGCTGGGTAGGACTTAATATATTTCAGCCAAGTTAACACTCCAGATTCCAAAACATTCCCACAATCCACATGAATACATACACTAGTGTTCTTTTGTATATTTTTAGGCTACAATACTAGTACTTTCATAGAAAAATATCCCAAAATTGAGCCTAAAACCATTTTAATAAATCGCACGTATTCTTTTGCCTTTCCAGAATTTTCCAGATTTGTAAAATACTTAAAAGCCTTTTGCTCATGGTTTTAAATTGCACATCTGAATTTCTAAACATTTCATTTAATGACTACTTCAGATTTTGTCACAGAGTAACACAATGCACAACAGCCCCAGGGTCAGATGAATGTATGTAGCTGTTCCTGTTCATAAGGATCAAGCTGACTGATAATATTCCAGATCTCCAATGAAACAGCAAATAAACAAGCATTGAGATTATGTCATGTGACATTCTCAACATTACCATCATTACTTGTTTAGTCCACTGAAAGCTTGTCCAGCAGCTGAATTGATATCATTCTTCCTTAGAGGTATTATTTTCTCTACATAAAATGTCACCTTACCATTTTCCATGCTGGCCCAGAACTGTATTTTTCAACTGGGCCCTGTATCTGGTATTCCGTCAAACAAAATCACCACTTCTCCGTTGTGATGTTATGTTATTGGGTTTCATAGAGGAAAAATATAGCTATAGGTGTAGTAGCAATTACTTTATTAAAATGTAACAACTAAATATCAAAAGGTTAAAGATGTGAGTGATGAGTCTATAGCGGTTCGTATAAAACAAGTGAAATGACTTTGTATTTTTTTGTTAATGTTAAAGTTAACAAAAAGATATTGGCACCAAGAGTTTAAACCGAAAGACTAAACAAAGGCAGAGTGATGTAAACGTCGCAGTTTTCTTTCCTTCAAGTTTGCGGGCTTGGCGAGGCGAGGGGCACCATTGTAAACAGTCGCTCCAGACTGATATATAAAGGAATTCAAAGACAAGAGAAACATAAGCAATACAGGAGGAAGCTGTAGACTGTGGAGACATGGAGCAGTTGCTTGGTTACCATGGTATCTCCTGTTGGCTGGAGGCAGTTCTGTGGGCTTTCTGTTCACCTTGTAACATTCTTCACTGCCACTTTGCAGTTGAAATGTCTCTAAGGTCAACCCATCTACATCCATCTCGGTCTCTTTGCCTTGGTTTTTCTTTGTTCCCACAATAACACCTCGCCGAACCGTTCTGCACTGACTGGCTTGCTGTCCTTGTTTCTCTCTCTCTCTCTCTCTCTCTCTCTCCCTCCCTCCCTTCCTCCCTCTCTCAGTACACACTTACATTTCCCCACTCCACTAGGTACTGAACCTTCCCGTCTGGTGTTACTCGTCTCGCCAAGATCCTGACGGCTTCCCCGCCTCCCCACCCCCTCTCCTGCGCTGACCCCTCCCCCTCAGAAACCCCGCCAGAATAGGATGTGACATCACGCAGGAAGAGCGTGGGGCACAGGTCTGGTTTCTGGCCAGGCTGGTGGGCAGATGAGCGAGAGAAAGGAAGGCAGGGTGGCGGAAGGCTGCAGGGATCCTCCACGCTGGAGAAAGGGCCAGAGACACAAGCAGCTCACACGATTGGCCTATTAATTATAACTGCTAGCTAATCAAAGCATTGATTATTATCAAAGGATTTATTATTAAGTATCAGTGACCGTCTAGGTAATTATTGTGCAAACCAATTAACCAACAGTGTTTTAAGATTAATTTAATGTTATTTAGTAGAATAATTAATACATATAATAAATACCAGGGTGATCTTTATTGCTTCGTTGTGACAAATGAGTTATGAGAAGGGGTAGCTGTTGTACTCCTAAGCAAGAAAAGTAGCTAAAACAGGAACAAGTAAATATCTGCCCGTATAAAGAATTACGCTACAACAAACCCAACACTCTTCAGATCAGCAATCACTCAGTACTTTACCTGCATTTTAGTGTGTAGAGATACAGAATGTGTACTATCAAGACCTCCACTGCACACAGAAATGCTACATTCAGCACATTAAATGACATGACTTCTGACGCATTATGGCACGCTGCATAATATATAGCATCAGTGAAGGTCAATGCATTTTTACAACAAGCATGCTTAGATTAAGATGTGTATTTCCCATTATTATGCAGCTATAAAAAACTCATCTCATCTAGGCGGTTGCTCAGCCTTGTGCCTTGCTCTTCCTGGGTGAGATTCCAGGCCCTCTGCAACCCTGAACCGGGTAAGTGGTTATGAAAGGTGGGCGGATGGATGGATGGGTGGATGGATCGATGGATGGATGACATTGCCTTGTCAAAACATACCTGAAATGATGCAAAGCCCGGGAAAGATTTTGCGCTCCGTTGTAGGAAGGGTGATAGAGAGCAAACATCCTCTTAGGAGGAGATCTGTGAAGAATAGTAAGACTGCTTCAAAATGACCGTGCTTCAATAATCCAATAGGCTTAATGAGTGGATACATGTTACAAGAATGGGATCCTTTATTTTCAAGTCCTTTGTGTGAAACGTTAAGAAGAAGGATGGGGAAGGTCAAATTTAATTGATGTCTTTTAGGACTATATATAAATTCCAATAAATTCCAAGATGCACAGTACTAACCCTAAGTTTATTTCATCATCTGATTTTCTGGAGTTGTAGAGGCCAGTCCCACCTGCGTAACCATGGTAACAAGGCACCAAATCGATTGGATTGGCTGCAACATCTTGTGGATGGGGCTAAGGAAGAAGTAGGCGGAGCTCTGTAAACAGACTGATTCAGCCATTTCAGAAACTTTACAACAAAAAAAGAAAAACATAATATAAACATGATATATTTTCTCAAAAATATACAGTTGCTTTAGATAACAACACCAATATATATGTAAATCTATGACATGGGCCAATTTGCATATATTGTTTTTATTTATAGAAAAAGGGCATGACAAATTTATATATAACCATCCTGCGATGCATAACACATCCTACAAAGAAAGATTAATACAAATGCACAGCCAACTGCATTGTCACAAAAGATTCAGTCCTTTTTACAATTATAAAAAGAATCTCAGAAACGCCATTGACAATTTGCCTCAAAGTTGTCCATTTTACAGTATTGCTAATTAATTTTATGGGTCTTGACGAGGCTTGTGACCTTCGTGAGCAAATATATTGCTAAGTAATCTATTGAAAACAGCTTTAGCAAAAGCCCCAGTGCCCCTCGCAATCGAGGCTGCTATATTTATCGCAGTATCTGCAGCTCACTATCTGAGAGGCGCGAGCTCGGCTCATTCCCGAAATTTATGAGGAGGCAAAATGCAGCAACGCAGAGGCTACATGTCATAAAACACCAAGAACAAAATGATAGACATCAAAAAAAACAAACTCAGAAACATTTCATTCTGTCACCAGTTTTGTGCACAATTATAATCCGTAGAGCATGAACACTGTGGTGATATAAGAAAAGTGGTCTAAATTTCATTGGTTCAGTACATATTCACATAGGCTTACAGCTAATATTTACAGCAGAAAGTTAACCCTCTAGTGATTTCCATTTTGGAAAAAAAATGGGGAAGCGTAAGCTTATCTGAAATCAATTATTAACCTCTCATTGAATAAGAATCAAACGTAAGTCAATAAACAAGATACATACAATCCATTTCCCAGCCTCACACGTACTTCTGGGTACAGGCTCCAGATTCCCAGAGACCCTCTACTGGGTAAGGGATGGTAAAATGGAGAGATGATGGATGGATGGATGGATGGATGGATATACATTATGCCATAAAATACAGGTTTACTTATTCTCATGTAGCCCTTTACACGTCTTGAAATTTTAAAGCTTCCATTTTAAATTGATATTTTTATGTTTTAAAATGAGACTTTCGCCGAATAAATTGAGAAAGCAGGAATCAGGGTCACTCTCATTTTAACTGCTCGGACTGACTATACTGTATTTGCGACTTAGTATTTATTTGGCTGTGTATTTGCATTTTGATGGTATCCTTGAGTGGGTGAACTGTGCATCTCCATTTTGTAAATGTGCGATTTGCTGTCTCTGGAGAGATAAACGACTACATTAATACGTGGGGTTGATTTCCAAGCAAGCGATTAAACCTTTGATACTTTGTTGCCTTTATTGCGATGCTGCTCATGTCGCCTGCAGCCCTGCCATCCATGCAGTGTTTCTGCATGCTGCTTTTGCACATCGCTGTGGCTGAAAAAACTGTGCTCTCCCTTTAAATTTGTTGAGGTCAGACGGTGCCACACTATCGAAGCGCCACCTGGCCAAACTGTAATGGACTGCAAAGTGCACTTGGCCATCGCCTCTGTGCTTCAATGTTACCCCCGTTCTGTGTGTTTAGTATGACATGGGAGAAGGGGAAAGAGGAGGTCTTCTTTCACACTGGGATGTCACGTTACATATGCGTGCAGTGGCTCAGTGGGGAGCACTGTTGCCTTACACCTCCAGGGTTGGGGGCTGGATTTAATGCCCTGTAGTTCCTGCGAGGGGCTCCAGACTCACTGTATACAGTGCACTGGATAATCGGTTATGGATGGATGGATGGATGGATGAAGGCCCATAGCCAGAAATTAATTTTTTGGGGGTCCAGGAACCCTACCAATAGGGCCCTTTAGGTAGTTTTTGCCAATTGGGTAGGGGGAGGAGCATTTCTGATGCGAATCAATGGGGGTTCAAACTCATCATTTTAATACCTAGCTATGTGTCTAGAGCAGTGGTGGGCAATCTTATCTGCAAAGGGCTGGTGTGTATGCAGGTTTTTGGGATAACCTGTAGGTCAGCTGTTCAAACCCAGGTGAGAAGACTCTTCAGCTAATCAGTCCTCTAATTAGTAATCTAATTAGGGAGTTGCAGCAAAAACCCGCATACACACCGGCCCTTTGCGGATAAGATTGGCCGCCCCTGATTTAGCTGGATGGATGGATGGATGGATGGATGGATAGCTGTTAGTTAGATGGATAGTTTATTATATCTTGGAAGCAATCTTGGAATCCACTTTGCCTGGGATAGTTTTAGACTCTTCACGGCTCTGCACTGTATAAGCTCTATGGTAGTCAGATGAATGGATGGTTGTAGTTCTGTGTATATATATGAATTATTTCTTGGAATCATCTGGTTGTATACATGATTTTTTTTTTAGTCCTGGCACCTCGTCCAGTGTGTCTGGGATGGTTCCAGATTCACCATGATTCTGTACATATAAGTGGCATGGAAGACAGATGGATGGATGAGTGGGTGGGTGGATGGATGGATGAATGATGGACGTATGGATGGACAGATGGTTGTGTGGTCTAATGCGCAAAAACCCTATTATCCGATGTATAGCCATGAATGATTTTTGTCCCCCGTCTGGGCACGGACAGCAGTGCCGATGCCTGTTCCCCTGCACTGAGCACTGACCTGGGCCTCTGTGATGCGGCGTTTGGATTTGCGTGATTCCGGCTCCGCCGTTCTCCTCTGGCAGGGCGAGGACACGGGGCTGCTCCACAGACAAGAAGGACAGCGAGTGTCTGTAATAACCTCAGGCTCTGGCCCTCTTACATCAAAAGGTCCATTAAGATTCAGACTCCCAGCCTCGTGTCTCTTTCATAGAATAACTTAATTTAAAGAGTAAAGACATGATTATGTGAACCTAAGTCTTAAATAAATCCTATTTATAGTTCAAATATAAGGAAAATGGAAAACACTGCCAAGCTCATCGATTGCACAGGAAAGCGTGGAAGGTTGGCTTCTCCTTTGCAGAAAATTTAAAGATCTGACTCACTGATCAAGCTCAGTGCCGGAGTTCTGAATCCACACACACACGGGAAAGAGCGCTGATTCTACTCACCTTCTCCTGTGCGAGATGTTGATGGGAGGGTCAGTGATGAGGGGTGATAGGTCAGAGGTCAGGGGTGGAGGAGCTCGGACTTGAAGGCCAAACAGACACTTCTTCTTCTTTATTTCTTTACCAGAGACAAACCTAGCAACAGAACAATTTTAAACCTCAGATGACCTCTTCACTTCTAATCCTGTAACAGTTGTATATATGCAGTCATATTCATTTAAAGTAGTCACAAACAATAATCTTGCGCAAAATGTAGCTTCAGAAAAATGAGGAATCGATAAATTAGCGCTGCTGGAATAAGGAGAAAATGAAAGGTAGAGGTGCCTTTATGAGACTAAATGATATAAAGTTCCTATCATACAAATCAACTGCTGGGAATATGCGTGATGTATATCTACGTGAGCAATTAGCATGAGAAAGAAGAGTGATTGACTTTCCAAAGAACTGATTTCAAAAGCTTTCTGTCTTATTTTTGACTCCGAGGCACTAAATTAACATTGCAAATCTGCACCATAAGTTAACTTGCGTATGCATTCATATCTAACTATATTTATCTGCGTTTCTTTTAAGGTGCTACATTTTTGATCTGCACAATACATTTGGCATACTTACTAAAAAATGAGAATGAGTAATTTGGCTGTGCTGTGATGTCATAAACAGATTCTTACCTGTCTTTATGGGAGTTTAAAGCATTGAGAAGATTGTGACAACGATCTTGTCTAGGTGTGTCCGACAGCTGATTGCCAAAGAGGGCAGGTGGGAAAATATAAATGCAGTTCTTGTTTAATATACAATGGGTAAGATTAGGTGAATACTAAGCGAATAGTGAAAAATAACTAAATCACTTCAATCCCTCAAAACATGAGGGTAAAAACTAAAACAGATAAATGCATGACACGCACAAACCCAAATAAAAAAAAAAAAATTATATAGTCGTACCTTTCCTAGCAGCAAAGATTCCCAGTTCTCATTGGTGAAGGACAGAATTTCATGGTCAAAATCAAAATACTTCCTCTTGCAACACAATGAGAGATGATACAGCACCAAGTGAGCCAAATCTACCCTGCAATAGCAAGAACACTGTAACAACAGGCAATTTCCATAAACATGGAGAGGACAAACACACAAGTCATGCTGGGCCAAACAAAGCTCAATGCTGTACAACAACGCTTCACTATCTGTATATTTTTATAAGAAGTTAATAAGAGGAAAATACAACGATAACAGAATACCTTTTCACAGTAACATTCTTGTATTTCTTAATATCAAAGGACATACATTAATAATGTGAATAACATATTCTTCCAAATGCTACGTCTTTCCTACTGTAGGCTACAGATCATGACAAACCAATCAAGATATTCGGTTGTATGTATGTCATTGCTTGGGCGATATATCCAAATAAACTCACCAGCTCATTGGTAGTCTTTGAATGGTTTCTGGTCCATTCGTACAGGCTGAGCACTGGAACTCGTAGAATCTAACACAGAGGGAATTTGCGAGTGTCCTTACAACACAACTCTATAGGGAGAGGACACTGATGCTGGCCTCAATTTGAAAATAAATGAACTGATGTCAAATTATAGCAAAAATACAGTTTCTGTATCAAAATGCCGATCGTAAGGGGAAACCTCTTAAGACCTACAATCTAACTAATCAAAGAATCCAAGATACGATTCTGTCCATTCTGGGATAGTTTGCATGCTCATTGTGACTCTGTACTATGGATTAATGAAGATAAACTTAAAAACTGGATTCAAAGACAGATGGATGGGTGGATGGATGTGATGGATGGATGGATGGATGGATGGATGAAATTCTACCCCTTGTATTACACACCTGTCTCCATACAGTAGCGGTTTGGCCAGACACTGGGTACAGGCTTCATGAAACCACTGACCACAGCTACCACACTGTAACATCTTCAGGTTCCACCTGTGGCAAAGTGTGACACAAAGGATTGTCATTGTGACGACAACAAAAACATGACTGTCGGCACAGAGGAGAGAAGATGCAGCATCTTCGGCCTCGGAAGCTACCGATGTCATTATTATGAACGTTAAGCCATGACAGCAGTGAACAAAATATCATTAAATACTTCCATGTGTATCACACCCACGCCCTGTGTGTGGCGTTCGTATGTTCTCTCCAAGTTATCTGACTGGAATGACAAACCTTCCCATTGTGTGTGTGTGTGAGAGAGAGAGAGCAGGTATACTTTACGTTATGGGGACACAATGTCCCCACAACGTCATGAATACCTGTTAAACTCAATTTAATAAAAATCTGTGACGGCAATGAAAAAAACAAAAATGCAACAACTCCTGTATTTTGCCTTTTTACTCGTGGTTATGGGTAGGGCTGGGTAGGGGTTAAGGTTGTCATAATTAGCATTAGCATTTTTCCCATAGAAATGAATGATCAGTCCCCATAAAGACATGTTCACCCGACATGTGTAAGCGGGCGTGTGTGTGATAGATTCATTTGCTATCCAGAATGTTCCTCTGCCTTATGCCCTATACTGCCTGAGATGCACTTGGTAGTATTTTTAACATTTCCTTTTAGTCGGATGCCATATTTACAATGTTTCACTAAAGATAACAGACAACTCAGAAATGTTACTGCAATTAAACACCAGCAATGCCCCCTGGTACTCAAATGGTACTAAAAGCTGCACTCACTCCCCAGGGCCGGCACAGTAACAGTAACACTGCTGTTGGTTGGTCAGATGTTGAGGGTCCCAATCCAAAGCTGAAAGCTGATAGGGCAGCTTCACCTTCATCAACTGCATGAGGCGGGCAAATCGTCCACGCTTTAGTGCTCCCCCTCTCTAGGGAAAAAAGAAAATAAAATGAATGCAAATAAATTCCATAACAAACGAATATCTTGATTGCACCATTTGGGAAGTACGTCACTAAAATCTAAAGTCTAAATGAGATGGGAAACATGTTGAAATTAAGATTTCTAAAAGCGATCATTTTGGAGGTATTAAAAAAAATTAAAAGGTAAAACCATAGTGGAATTAAAATCAAGTTGTTGAATTATAATACATATTGATTCCAGAGTAAAAACTGCAATAAGCCTTTTGTCCACCATACACTTCATATTTGTGCATAAATCATATTAAGTCAAATTCACCGGAGTACATGTCACAAAAAAATCAGCGGGGGTAACACAGCACTGGGTACTGATGCCAGAGACACATTTACCAGTTAGTTGCCCCCTCTGCTGGTAAGTGAAAGATATCACAGCAGCTGAATGTTTTGACCACACAAGCCTGCTGAGCGTCTTAGTAATTGGCTTCCCCAGTGATCGACCCCATACCAAGACTGCAAACAATAACAACGTCTATTCTTGCATCCACGTGCATTTGTTTCAGTAGGATGCCAGTGTGAGACCAGCCCAGAGCAGGAATGGAGGATAAATCATTTGCCTTGGTTGCCACTGCGAAGACACACTGCCGGCAGATCCAGGTGTTGCTGTCAGGGTCGGGATCGATGGACGGAATGTGGCACTCGGGATGATAACCTTTGCAGGGAGGGAAAGGCAGACTTTGAATTACCATAATTATATTTTCAACAGTACCTGAAATTATGTTAATATAAATCTTTCGCATGGTATGCACAGCCTCTCAGCACTGTCTTGATAATTTTGAGGTAGACTTCATTTTATTGGTTCACTTTCCAAACTGGTCTTTCCAAAATTGTGCTAATCAATCTCCTGAAGCACAGTTTCGTTATTTAAAACATGTCCTCCGCATATGTATATACACTGCGTACTGTAGATATGTGCATACACTGCGCACTGCAGATATGTGCATGCACTGCGCACTGTAGATGCGACTAAACTTCAGACACACACACTCACACACTCGGCGTACTGCCCTAAATTCAACGACATGCATTAGATTGGAATTTATGGGTTCTGTTACCATGCCGACACTTGAGACAATTTATCAAAGGTTCTTTGAGAGGCGGGCCATCACAGATGCAGCAAACTTCCTCTATTCCCACAGAAACTAAAGAAGGAAGAGAGAGGAAATGCAGCATTAATTTATGGATGCTGATGTCTTTCCGTGGCACTTCATTGATTTCAGTGTCTCCAGAATGCTTTCAGACTTCACTCAGACGTCAGTCTTCAATGCCTCTTTTTGACATTTGAATATTTGGCTTTGCATCGTTTTCGAACAAGATGCATTTCCCGTGACTGCCTCCAGAAAGGGTGGCGCTCTTTATAACCAGATAATCGATCTAAAATTTTATATTAGAAAAGTAAACATTCGTATTCGGTGGTCAGCTGTAAATAAAGTTGCGTGCAGTTTCAGTTTTCCTTCAAAAATGCCTTCAGTTACAGTCGTACAATTCACAAAATAAAATAAAATTACCAGGTCCTATCGACTCGTTAAACTAACAAATATCCATAAAAAATGTAATATACCGGAGTTAACTACACTATAATACACGAATTATTTCATGTTCAACTTCCATTTGAAATGTTTCCAATCACAATATGCAATTACTTTCATCCACGTTCCATCACTGCATGCATCTTGCACTCACTGAAATTATGTCAGCATTTAAACTAATAATCAGCAGAATATTGCACAATTCAGCACAATTTCCCGGACCTCCCACATACACCCCTTTAGAGATGCAGATTGTAGAAATGCCTCACAAGAGTGGATGTCTTTTCTCAGGACCCAGAATTCAGAGTTGTCTTCAAATCTCACCAAACAACACTGTTTAACTCCATCTACCTGTGAGAGAGGGAACAGAGGCTGGCCAAATATCCACTTGGATGAAGGGACAGAAGTGCTATACCCAAACACCCCCACTACACACACACCTCCACACCCCCACTACACACACACACACACACACACACACTGGCTCACTCTTTTGACGTTGCCCAGGTATAGTAGTCCATCACTCCATCGAGCCAGAACATCATCTCCTTCACTCACTCCACCCATCCTGAAAAGGATGCAAAAAGAGAAACAGCAGATGACAGCACTGTGTGAAATTACATGCACTGACAATACGGAGCATGTACACTTCTAAGACACTTGGGCACAATTACATGCATATTCACATGCACACGTTTCTTGCAAATATTAAGTTCAGCCTTTCTTTGTTGTCTACACACAACACAAAAAAAGAGAGTTAATGCATAAATACAATGTATATAAAAAGCTTTCCTAAAATGTGATGTACAATTAAAATCTAATTGCCATTTTGCATTCTTGATAAAAACTACATCAAGACTCAAGATATCAGAGAGGTTCTAGTACATGCACACAAATGACAAACATACAATAGATTGCAGAAAATATGTATATTAAGCTACACATCTAAATAAAAATGAAGATCATAGCTACCTGTCAAGTCGAACTGTTCTCCGTTGGGTCACATCGATAACAACACAAGCTTGACATCAAACGATTTATCTCCGATTTTTCCCTCCTCGCAATTACTATTAGTATGTGTACGTGTGTGCTATTGACCGTATGTGCCCGTGCCAAGCGGATGTGTCAGTCAACCCGTCAGTGTAAAGGTGTTTGTCCGTCCGTCTCTCTCTCTCTCTGTCTTTCGCGACGCCGTTTCGTCATGTTCCCGTCTCTCTCCCCCCCTTTCCCTCTCCTTATTGATGTTATTAAGCGTGTTTGCCAGTTGCTGCATGAGAATCAAGCAGCGAGAGGCGCCATCATCTCTGCCTCTCTCTCGACCGACTTGTTGTGACGCAGACATAAAACACAGGGAAGTGGAGCGAGGGAGGGAGATAGAGGGAGCGGGGTGAGGATGCCTGCGCCCCCGACAGACTGACCCAAAGCCTCGGGCGAAGTGAGTGGGAATACAGAGCCCTGTGCAAAGTAAGGGCAGGGGTGGCATATTGACTGCATGGAGATCAAAGTACGCGCTGCAGTGCAGCCGCGTATTAACTGACGTGCATCGCTAATTATTGCATATGTCTAACACTATTAATTAAAGCAATGAAAGTGCACGCCGGACTTTGTGAAGAGTTTTAAAGAGCGCCGAGTGCTACCTATGAGCAGCAACTCGAACGTGCAACGGACAGTAATTAACACACAAGTCAGAAAAACTGAATAAATTAAGGTAATAGGTCTTGTAACACACCCCATGCGAATTCTTACTATTTAGTCTGAGTTGATAAACGAGACATTGTTATGAAAATCTACTTAGACGTCCTCAGATTTAAATGCTATTAAAATCTGTATTTGATCCACCCAGGGAATTGTGTTATTACGAAGGTGCCTCAGGGAGAGGACTTGCAACTTCCTAGACTTAAATCCAGCTTCACACCGCTGCCATTTACCAGACATCATAACAGTAATAACGGAAGATTTTAATGGAGATCCTGCTGGGCTGTAGACAGACGGACTTGTGGGTGCACAGTGAGAAATAATTAAACGTTTAGAGCGCAAAAGCTGACCTCCGACGTTCAGCTGGAATAGATTAGACACATATCGCCTCCCATCACTGATGTGTTGACAGTTTTCTGCATGAATCCTTGTCTAACTGTCGATCTGCCGGGCTCATTCTGACACTACATTGCATAGGTCTTGTTTCCAACCTTTGCAAGCCGAACTTTTCAACATTACCATAACTGTGCGTGTCTGCATGCCCAGTACCCTCTTGCACTCCAGCACGATTTAGGTATGTTCTGTTAAATATGGCTGAAAGACACCATAAAATCACCGCTCTCATATACGTGCAACACACATAAGAAATTAATGGAAATGCTACAGGAACATATTTGTTTGAATTAAATGTCTAGAGCGGCCTAATAAAATGCATTTCAAGTTTGATTATTTGGATATATTACGCAGATGCTATGCAGATTCTGGGTAAAGCAAATGCAGTTCACCCATTTGTGGAAATCGGAAACTGACCTGTCGATGTAACAATCCCTTGATAATCCACTAGATGGTGTGAAACTTGTATTCACTGTGCACTTACTGTTGCAGCCATTTTCACGCAAAATTTAGATGACTTGCACTCTGAAATCTTACCAAATAATTTTATAAAGTGATGTGTTTGCTTACCACGATCAGTTTTAGTATATCGCAGATTTTGTAAATAATTTCTTTAAAAAGAATAAAAGGCAATGGTGAAACTCCGTTGCAATGTGCTGCAAAAATCAAACAACGCCCCCCTCCCCAGTATTCCCCCTTGAACTCTGTATTTCATAGACAAAATTATAAAACTCTTTTAAAATATGAAAATGACCTTCGGAGGAAATTACATGCACTGACAGAAAGGACGTGTAACTCTTTTATAGGGAGGATATTGTTTTTATAATGTTCATTTCGGAGTATACTTTTAAAAAAAACTGCAGCCACCATTCAAAGTCTCGATTTTAGGCGAACTCTTTCACAGAATAAGTCACTATTCGAGTTTATACATCACAAATTTCCTCCAAGCTTATCTATACTGTAATTTGTTATTGATAGAGCAAGTAAATCTTAGGACAAATGGAAGTAAAACTCATGGTTTGACGATCTATAAAGATTTTTTCTTCACCAACCAAAGTCATTACTCATTTTAAATTGCAGTTTAAATTACAGTCGTGCTGTACTTGATATGTTCTTTCTTTATCGTCATCAATAATAGAGAATAGGCTACTTTTAAAAATCTCTTGTCAATATTCTATTCCTGAATGTCGAATTTCTGCCTAAATTTGCTCTGATCTTACCATCTGTGACTTGGCAGAAAGTTATCAACTTTACAACAGCTGAATGTCTACAATGACGGAACATGGAATGTAACTTGCATCGTGACGGTAATATTCCCAAATCATTCTTCATTGTCTTATTTTTTTTATTTATCGCGTGGTTTACAGCACTGTATTTATTTTTGTTTAGGCTATCGAGCAGATTTGAGGTTCGAATCAGTCACAGTCACTTTATCTGCAATTTATTAACAAAAATGACTGTATCTGGGACAAATTATCAACACATATATTGTTAGTGGTCACTCTAATGAGACACCAGAAAGCGGCGTATGGGTGTTCAGTATCAATCAACCGGTCTGCCCAGTAGTGGTTAATATACAGGATGAGAATGTTGCTAAACACGCTGAGTAACCGAGCATGCAGCGTATAGGAACTGCGTCGTCAGTCATGTTGGTGCGCTGATCGGCTCGGAGCGCGCGAGCGGACGGTCTGGGGGCGACGCAGCAATGGACTGAGGGGGTCGCGGACTCTGTTTAAAGCAAGTTAAAGCGATTTCATGGAGCGATGTTCATGCAATCACAAGTCTTAAACAAAGCTCAGCAATACTGCTTCTAGACAACACTACCGGGATTGTACTATCATTCGGATGGGCGACATCTTCTCTACGACACCGGACATACACTGAGTGAGTTTTAAGGGGAACTGCCACGATACTAATTTATTAGGCGATGTGGACGGCAGCTTGGCAACTATCAGTTGTTATTATTTTTTCGTGGTGTATAGTATGGATTTTTCTCATAATGGCAACATCTTCTGCCAAACTCTCGTAACTTTATTAGCTTCTTCTCCGAGGTTTCGGATAGGCTACAGTAAATTATTCCGGCCAGTCTCTGTAAGCGTTTGCTGCGCCATAAATAGAAGTTCAGTATATTGTAGCACCACCCATCGGCAGCGATCCTGGAACATAGAAAGAGAATATTATTTTAATTTGGGGTGTGACTTTATGAACATTACCGAGTCTGGACACATTTTTTGCAGCTTCAGTTGAGTATACTTTACCTAAATAAAAAGTGATTTCTTTTAGTAATTTCACCACTTGTATCCAGTCTAAGTTCCATACTGGTAAGAGAGCACATCTCTATTCAGTTTAAGTAGTTTTTCCTTTAGATACAAATGCCCATTCATTTAGTAGGCCTACATATATGTTGCTTACCCTTTCAAAACTTGTTTAGTTTGGGAGACAGTTGCTCCCAAAGACAAATAAACGTACACACTCATGGTGAAAAACTACTTGGTTAGTTACTGATTTGGTAATCTATAGCTATGCAAACGAAGTAGCTTTTGCAGAAGTAAATGTACGATCAATTTAAGGTGAAGCTTTGTTAGGCTTGCTTATTGTTTATGTGCGTGTGTGTGTGTGTATACATATATACTGTATATATATATAATGACAATCGCTCCTCTTAATAGAAATAGTTGTGTAGGCTCTGTGGTAAATTTAGGGTTACAAAGAGCCATCAGTGTGCTTTAACTCGTAATGCATTCATTTTTCTCATATAAACCTGCCCATATTGTTGTCACTTAGGCTACTTTCCAAAACCAGTGTTTTCCTCCTTATACATGGGAGTTCAAGTTGCCCAGTGAGAGAGAGAAAAAATGAAGCAGCGTCGGAAATTCAAATTTGGAGCGTTAGTTTGGTTACGTGAAATGTGAATCTCGTGAACAAATCCGCCAGTGTGCGAAAACGCCGCCAAGTCCTGCTGCTAGAACATACTGCTTTATCTTCCCTCTCTCTAGTGTTACAATTAACTGCCTGCAAACACTGGAACTGGCCAAATTTTTCCTTTCATCAAAAGAGAACTCATAACTTACCATATTCTTACCATTCACAACATATTCAAGGTATAATGGTAATCCATAGTGTTTTGCATTGTGCTTCGCCACGCACTGAAAAACTAACGTTACAAATCAATAGGTGACCTCTGCTGTCTCAGGAATCAGAATCAGTCAGCTAAAAGTTGTGAATGAACTTTATAAAACACATCAACAAAAATCAGAGTATCAACAATATTAACAATGTGCCTTTGAATAAAACCTCCTGGGCATGCTTTGTTCGAAACGTGCTTGGGGATAATAAAACGCTAAGATAATCCTCTTATGTTGCACAAAGAGTCGACACTGTTGCCTAGCAAATCAGTGAGATCCCCAGCATTCCTTTAAATTCGACTTACATTATAAACTATTTCTCGGATGCCTTTGTAAATAATTACTAACAACCATACACCAAATGTGCAATGAAATATATTAATGTATATGTACTTCTATCTACTTTATATCTCTTGTAAATGCTTTATTGTTTCAGACTTGTTACAATAGATCGCAAATTTCACAATTGTTCCAGTATTTAGTGATATGTATGTTGGGCTGTAGTATGGGCACAAGGGGTTCATCTGCACACATTTTAATACATTCTTTATGCATGAGCTAACGTCACACTGACTGGAAGCATTGCAGGACAGAATGCACTGAACTGACTTTAATTAAGGATTTAAAGAAAACCATTCAAAATAACATAAACAATGTTGGACATCAAGTGTAATTAATGGTTTGGATTCCAGCATGTATGCATCTTGCAGGGGTCCATGGAAAACGAATATTAATTAAATAAATCCTATTTTATTGGCACTGTTATGTTCGTCACTGTCGTTATTATGGCTAACAGTCTGAGCATTCATTTAGCCGTTTCCAGTGACCTTTCTGGCATATTATTTCAGATGCCCAGTAGGTAAATCACAATGATCTGAAACTTTTCTAAAATTCAGTGTTTACATCCAAAATTTGGTTTTTAGTTACTTCTCTGTTTACTTTTTATGCATGAATGTCGAAATGCCGTGTTGTATTTTTGGATTATGACGCATTTCATTGTATGCTGTGTAATGCATTGTCTGAGGAATAATAGATTCCAAAACAGAAGTTTGCGCCACATGACTTTGTGCACACATGCTTGAAAACAGTGTATATCTGTCATTTTATCAGCAACTTTAAACTCCAGCTCTCCACCCATTTTTTGTATGATAGTGGTCTACACCATGCTCCCCCGCAATATGCGCTTCGCTGATATGGAACTGCCAGGAGTCGGGTCGAAGGACGTGCCCCTGATTGGCTACCGCCCTTTGCAGTCTGAGACTGACAGCTGCAGAGAGCCACCCAGGAAACAGACTGACAGCAGGAATTCGGACAGCCCACAGGTTAGACTCAAACAGTAGTATTGCTTCATTTGGGTCGGCCTTGCTTTACGACCGTCCAATCGGACCTTTGCGCTTTGCTATTTATTCCTTCCTGTTTATGCTTTTCTCTTTAACAGGCGCTACCAGCATGGGCAAGTGTAAAAACATAACAGACCACCCCACCCCCATGCACACACCTCATTTGTTAGCTGATCGCCCCCCCCCAAACACATACCCAATGCAAACTCCAGGTGCAGCAGTGCTCAGAAATTTCCAGAGGTGACGGGGAACCATTGTTACCATTCAGTGGAATGACTTATTGCCAGACTCCCGTTTATTCAGATGCTCATCATCAATTGCTGAGGAAATAATTGTATAGAAATTGTGGTTTAGAAACAGTAATTGTCAAGCAGAGTTGCACACAATAATGGCTTTAGACGGGAACTTAACTGCCATCTGACTAGATATTTAACTGCAAAAAAATGGTTACAAAGAGGGAACTCATGAGAAAGGATTTTAATACCTAATTACTTCATTTAAAATCTAAAATTATTAAATGGTAAAAGCACGATAAACTCATGCCGAAAAAGCGACTGAATACCAATTGAATATCCTTCTTAAGCATCAGCTACAAAGATTTGTTTTTGTCGCTTCACTGGGGTTCGTTTTCCTCATGTTTTCTCCAGGTGATACGGGAAAATCAGGTTAGGGTAACTGTTTTGGAAGCAATATGTATGGGTACCCTGGCAACAAGGCTGGTATCATTCATATCACTGTCATATGTAAACAGGAGACGTGGTTGGGTGATTTTCAGACCCCTGCTAGCACAGACGTTCCTAAAGCAAGACTGGGCTGTATGAATAAGCTTTGCCTAGGTCCATATTTTGATTTGTTCTCATAAATTTGCATTGGGCATAGAGCTAACCTAATGCAGTTCATAACTGTTTTGTATAGTTATAATAATAGCGTATAGTTATAATAAGCACAGTGCGAGTTGCACTTATCCTAATACTAAAGCTTTGACAGACATATGTACACAGTCATATTTGTATTCTGCATGGAATTACAGTATGGCACATTTTTCCTCAAAAATCATCTTTCATCAAAAATCAAAAATCATCTGTGTTTTCACCTAACAGACCACCACAAACAGCTCTCCTTGTCCCCATAGCTGAATGACGTCATTTTCCCAGAAGCGGTAGCAGTGGAGGCTCTCATATAGCATAAAGCCAATTATATAAACAAACTTGTAGCCCTTAATAAGGCATGTGTGCTCTCTCTTTCTATCTGGCCAGTCATCTGTGAGCTATGCAAATTGTTATAAAGTTTAACGTCAGTTCTCTGTTAGCTATGTGGCTCTTTAGACAAGGAAACACTGTTTAGCATTAACTTTCAAAAACAGGAAAGCGACTCAGAACTAGAGAAGAATGTTCAGAAATTGTTCTGTTACCATGTCTTCCAAAAAATCTTCTTTAAATACCATATAACTCAGTTTTCCAATGTCATCTCATTGGAAGGTAGCAGGTTAGATCATGTGATCAGTTTTTTTTGTTTTTTTTTCTTGGTCTGTGTCATTTTGTACAAAATGGAGTACAGTTTTATGGTCTGCTGGTACGGCTGATCTGAATTCATTGCTCCTTTATACCGATTAACCCCAATTCTTGTTTTTAAGAAATCCATCATTCAGTAAGTGCCTTATGATATTTGTTAGCTATGATTTTAATATGTCATGATTCAGCATTCAGCTCAGTACTCAGTATGGACGCCTGCTCAGTTAGTTAGTGTAGCTATTAGTTAGAAGGTACGCTTCGGAAACTCTGCAGGCTATTAAAAGAATGAATGTAGACTGTTAGTACTGTGGCAACATCCTTTCGCTTTGACTCACATGAGTGTCTTGCACCCTGGCAATAAATTATTCAGCAGTGACCTCGGAGTAATTCACAGACCCCCCCGAACACACGGCTCGGCAACGTGCAGCACTGACGTCCTTGTCGGGTCAGTGATGAGTGACAGACGCAGGTCCCACATATAGGCTGGAGATCAGCCAACAAGACCCCCCCCCCCAGTTACTGAAATTCACCTTTTATCTGAGTGAAGATTGCTGCGGACATCGTAAAATCTGCCATCTTCTGTTTTATTTAATTAAGCAATGACAACCTCTAACAGATTCTGTTTCCCCGACAACATTCGGTATCTCATCCAGGACATCGTACGACAGTGAGGAATTTCAGTGCTGAGGCCGCAGGCTTGACTCGCAGAGTTTACTTGCCGTCAAGGCAGGAAGCGTAAGCGCTTTTGTGAATGAGCATTTCTTTTGTTGACTCCCATTATAGCACATGGATGGCTACCCCTGGAACCTCACGACAGCCCCTGTTTCGAGAAAAAAAAACAAACACGTCTTTGTGGTGTACCATGAAGCTAATACTGTGTTTGTTTTTTTTTGATAACGCAAGTGTGCCTTTGAGCCATTCTGTGTGGTATGAATACCTACCTGGGTGTTTTCTCAACAGTTTGTTCTTCATAATTTGGCCTGCCTAAAGTAAGCAGACGTAAATATTTTATTTCCTTGGGATTTACCCATGGTATTTAGTATGACAGCATGTAACTGTCACATGGCCAGATGTGTGCACATTGTCTTATATTACACTTTCAGACTGTGCGTCTCTGTGACCAATGAAAATTTAACGACATCTCATTAGAAGTCTACTTTTCGTAAGATGGATCCGTTCTCAGATTTCCTATTGAATGTCTAAATAGTTGACTACGCTGGAATTAGTAGTCCATTCATAACAAATAATTAATCTTGCTTCTGTACATAATTAATGGTTATCGCTGTTCAGGACACAACAAGGCCAAGGCCGTGATGTATTTAAAGAGTTCCGTCGCTGTTTGATGGAACATCAAGAAACTGGACACCTAAAAATATGCATTAACACATCTGGACGTCCGTTGATTTCCCAGAAACATTTTTCGAGTTCACGGCCATGGTGATCCTGAAACCCATCACAGGATGTATGGGGCACAAAGCAGGATACGCACTGGACAGAGCACCGGTCCTTTTCGGTACACTCACATACACACACACAATCACACGCAGAGGACAGTTTCTGAGGTTCCGGAACACCACATGTTTGGGAGGAAACCAGAGAATCTGGAGGAAACCCCCACAAGCTCAAGGAGAGTCAATAAAATCCACAAATCTGGAGGTGTGACGCTACAATGCTACCCTACTGAGCCTCAGTGCCACATAATTAAATAATTGCAGCAATGAAACTGATTAACAGTAATGCACCCAGATGAGGTAAACTTCTCATCAAACATTCCGAAAAAGGCTTCTGCTGATTAACATGAGATGCTGAAAAGTTGGGCCTAAGAGGGGAACGATAAGCGTGAGAAGATGACCATCTATTGGTTGGAAGGAAGGGGTGGAGATAGAGAAAAGAAACATAAGAACAATGGATATCTTTAAATAAAAGTGCCGAAGCTACATTTACGACTTGCAGATGCATGGTCGCGTGACGTCGCGCCTTTGTCGCCTGACGTTGCGGCACATTCGCGGCTAACTTTATCGCTTATGCAGCTCACGTTCGGCTGCCGCAAATGCCTTTTAATGGTCTTTCTGAGAAGGCGCCAAATAAATTCTGAAATGTGCACAACTAGGAATCACTGGTGAGCGGTGATAACAAACGGGAGATTCCTGCCTCGCTTTTGTATATCGATTTTATTGTCTCGAGTGGTAGTCGTTAGGAATAACTGGCTGACTTCAGTTGCGCGGGAGAGAGGAGGAGGGAATACAGCTGCCAACAGCATGTCCTGTTTCCTCTGTTTGTCTCGCCTCATTATGCACTTCCTGCAAAGAGAAAGAATAGGAGATAGACAGCGAGATACAGACAGAGCGTCACAGAACACGGCATTCGGTGCTGCACACCGTATTTGCACACATAAGCCACCGGAGGAAAAAACAAACACACCTGAGTAAAAGCCGGACGGCGTGAAGAGGAAAAGGGTCGCTTATGAATAAGATTCAAGCAAATGAGCCTCAAGACGGTGCTGCAAACCAAGCAGGGGTTTGAAATGCCGTTTGTGGGGAAATACGCTAATTATTTGAGCTATTTTATATGAAAAAAGAATGGCAGGAAAACACAGGAAAGTAGCAAGGAGATAACCTGTGACACCATGCATTGTAATGTGATACAAGGCCAGTGGGATTAGATGTTCATCCTTCTGTCTTTGCCCCTTGAAGGCAGAGGATAATACAACACAATAGAACTCAACGGAGTAACCAGACAAACAAGAACAGACCAGCATTGTCTCACTTGTGGGAGGTAGTTGTGACATGGAGATAATTCATGACCATTTATTGCGATATTTTGTTATCTGATGAAACAAACCAGGTTTTCACTTTTAATCTCATTTAAAGAGAACAAGAAGTTTCATTCATTGAAGGTGGAGTCACTGAATCCAGTGTGGATACAGGAGCTGATTTCAGAACCAGCTTCCAAAAAAGTGCTTCCAGAAAATTGTTTTTTATGCTGTTAGAAAACACAGTGGTAACTGTGGTGACTGTGGTTCTGCATGTCTGGCTGGCTTAGCTTTTTTTTGCACTCTAGCAGAAGGAAGCAGGAAAAGCTATTCAAGGCTCTGTGGCAGAATATCTCTGCAGTGATCTGCTATCCTTCATTTTTCTGTATTTGGCCTCTTTGTCAAACCGGTTTATCAATCCAGGAAGCGAGGAGAAATTGGGAGTGGGGGGGTGTAAAGTGAGAGACAAGGAGAGAGAGAGAGAGAGGGAGAGGAGGAGAGAGAGAGAGAGGGAGAAACTTGAACTGCAACCATTTCCACCCAGTAGGCGAAGCGCCCTGTGAAATTTGAGTGCCGGGTGGGCGTGGCCAGGGGACGTAAACGCAAGAGGGAAGTAGCGTCCCGACTTCAGGTGTGTTTGTGTGTGAGGAAGAGCAGTGCAAACAAACCAAAAAAGCACAATTAGAGAGGGAAAGGAGGCTAGTCTCCAAAGAAGCCTGCGAGAGCCAGAGATGGGGCTTCTTGCAAGATATTGAAGAATTACAAGAACCCGGCAGCTTTGGGACAAAGTGGATTTGGAAAGTGAAGGGTAGCTCTCTGCTATTGATTTGAATGTGTGGTAGCAGGAGTGTAAGGCCACAACACGTCAGGAGTAACACGCTCAGTACCAAGAGTACAAATGCAGTTTCTACATAACTGGCTAATTTGCTACTTAATAGTATTAAATTAAGAAATAATTTAAGCAGTTACTGTAAGTAATACAACTTAAGCTTGTTACTGGGCATTCAGTGGAAGCTCAGCCTTGCTGACTTCTTGACAGGTCTGTGTTTGTAATGTGCTGTTTGCCTCAGATTAAGCGTAGCTTTGGACAAAAACATCCGACCAATAAATGAATGTAATGCGATTCGATTAAAATATGGTCACCTGTAAGCCAATCAAGCAGTGGTCTTAATTATAATAGCCTGTAGAGTGTAGGAGGTCATAGATTGTAAGTGAAACTCCGTGGATTTTATGTGATGTGATGATTATCGCTGTAGGTGATGAATAGGACAGTTAAGGTGAAAAGCTTTTATGGGTGAAGATAGGATCCAGAGCTACACGGTGACCCGAGCGGAGCTGTCAGTGATGTTAACAGCCTTGCAGGTGCATCGGCGCGATCACTGAGTAATGGGAGGCTTGGGGACGGCGTCGGTAATGACTGCGGCGATGACGCCGGTGCGGCTTTGACAATGAAGCGCCTCTTATAGTGTGGAAACGTGCTGTAGTTGCACTGCCGTTGCCAAGGCAATGAAATTGTGATTCACGGGGACGTTGAATGTCAAGTCTTTTTTTTCCGTGTGTTTTTCACCAAGCAAATACACTGGCGGTTTCTGTGCTGAGCGGCAGCGACGAACAAAGCGGCAGGAAAACAAAAAAACGCAAGGCCTCTTTTTGTCCCCGATGTTTAGCGTAATTAAAATATAAAGAATACGGAAGAAATACAGCATAAATGAAAATCATTTGATGTAAAACACATTTCAATGCGCATTAAAAATGTAATTGCGTAGTTCAATTTTGTGGGCTTAGCTATAGTAATGCTATTTTTATATACCTGCTATAGCATTACTGACATCCCGTCCAGGGTATCCCCTGTCTTGCGCCCTGTGCTGTCTTGGATAGGCTCCAGTTACTCGCCATGACTCTGTACTGCATCATGGGAAATGGATGGATAATATGACATTGGGGGACAGGAACTGACATTTTCAAAGTGTGTGAGTCAGTACGGGCTTCCCAGTTGGCTGCCGACCGCCGGTTACCACCAGTGCCAGACGTATTGCTTCTCTGGCTGGCGTTGCCTGTTCCAAGGTGATGTTAAATAGACTGGGGACTGGGACCAGTGTGCAGACTGGCTGGTCACATATGGGTCAGGAAACAGCGATGTGCTGGAAACATGGGGAAATACATGCATATATGAGTGCTGTGTGTGTGTGTGTGTGTGTATGTGTGTGTGTACTGTATATATGCAACCATGGCCACATAATGAAATTGCGTTTCATTTATTACTATGTGAGTGCTTTGCAGTCCTTTGTCGCTTTCTTGCATACAAGTAGCTAGCTAGCTGTCTAAATAGATTGATAGATAGACAGAGGATGACAAGAACAGTAATGAGTGTATGTTGTTTTATTCAGGTGGATTCCTCCCCCATGAAGACGACATGGTACTGCCCGATGGAATTGGTATGACCCGCAGTGCTCTGTGTCATATGCATAGAACAGCTGCTGTGCTACATGACAGCATAAATATCCCTCACATTATTGTCTGTAAATGCATAGATTATTGCCTTTGAATGTATACTATTTACTGCATGTTAGCTACATGTGTGCCCTATACAGTATTTTAACACATGGATGCTGGTTAAAAACAAATTTCGGAACTGAAATTGATAAAAAAGGAAGTAGAAGTGTAAAAAGAGTTTAAGCATGTTGCCTGTCAAGTACTGTAGTCTTCATTTTTTGTATTTTTTATTTTTTTTTGCTTAGTCACTGTCATCATGTTTAGTTCTCTCCATGATATACGCATTTATTAAACAGTGTGCATCTTAATGAGCTTCATAAATGCCGGAATCTATTTGTGTCTGCTTGTGGCTTACTGGCACTTTCAGTCCACAGTGTCAGAAAAGGAAGAAGAGGGAGCGATCTACACGGTGGTTGTGAAACCACAGGCCGGAGCCTCGTCTTCCGCGGTGGTGAGAGTGCGCTCAGCCACTTGTGATTTCCATAGAAACCTAAAAACTGGCTGGGGCAAAACACGTTTACAGTCATAACAAATTTTGTCATCTCTGGAAACGAGCACGTGAAATGACTGGCGTTTTCGCAAATGTGTCAGTGTGTTTAAGGGATCTGTGGCACGGTGCATGCAATGCGAAACGAAGCCTTAGTTGCTCTTTTGCACAAGTACATTGGGATGCTTCTTCTCACGTATCCCGTCTTGCTCTCCTTTGAAACATACACATAGTCAGTTGAGAGCAAGGCTTGGGGATCTGAGCACAGGGTCAGGACATTTACTCGCTGCCTCTAGAGCAGGGGTCACCAACATGGTGCCCGCGGGCACCAGGACGCCCCCAAGGACCACATGAGTCACCTGTTCTAAAAATAGCACAACTCACCAGTGAGCAGCGTCTAAAATTTAATTTTATCCTGTTGCTATTCTTCTTTAATCACATTTGCATTTATATAGATCTGAACATGACAATATCTAAAAAAAGCATTTAAAATATATTTATTATACATGAAGTTTAGATAAGTTTAGGAGGCCGTTTCAAACTGGTAGCCCTTCGTGTGGCTCAGTACTTGTGAAGTAGCTCTCAGTTTCAGAAGGTCGGTGACCCCTGTCCTAGAGTGTCTTGAAAATGTAACTGTCTTGCTTTAGGACCCAATGGATATGTGACTATTTTGCTAAGGATGGGATTCGAACTAGCAACCTTCTGGTCACAGGCACAGAGGCCTGAACCTCAGCACCGCAAACCACCCTTCTGAATCCGGCCTTTTGGTTCTTTTAAAGACCCTGCATTTAGGAGAGGAAAAAAAAACACCTTTGAGTACAACAACAGATGTCTAATGTCATTTTGTCCCTCACTTTTCCCAGCACTCCTCAGGGCTGCGCTGTGAGTTTATAAAAGCGGGAACTGAGGAGAAGCTCGTCCTCCATCTTCTCCACTCCTTCTCCACAGGAGACACCTCCTACGTCTCCATCTTCCTCTCCACCTATCGCTCCTTCACCACCACGCAGAGGGTGCTTGACATCCTGGCTGACAGGTTAGAAAGAACAAGAGCGGGAAAAAGAAGGAAATGATATCAAAAGCGCAATTATACTATTGTCCTCATTGCTAAGGGTCTGGAAATAAGAGAGGAACGAGTGATGAGAGAGGAAGAGTGTGGCAGAGAGATAATATTGTCATGTGGTGTTACCTCTCCTTCCTTCTTTAATCTGATATAGCGCTTTTTAAAATAAATGTTGCCACGGTGACAATGCATTTCCTGCTGTCTTTCTTTCCACAGACTAGAGAACCCACCAGGGGCAAATAAACTGAGTGTAAATAGACTGGCCTTCAACAAGTGAGTTATTACTCAATTCATAATGCCTAACAAAGAGCTGTACCACACAGAGTTTACATATGGCATCAAAGAGCTAACCATGGATTTTCAGCCAATTGCATGTAAGATTTGCAGGGCAATAAATAAAATGACCGTAAAGAAGAGGCTGGTTAAGGTGACTAGATGAGCGCCGGTCGCCAAGGCTTAGCGTACGTCTGAGAAAACGTCGCCGTTCTCTGTCTCCTCCAGGACAGTATGTTCGGTTTTCAGCAAATGGCTGGACGAGTATAAGGAGGACTTCCTGTCCCTCGGAGACCCCACCCCCCTCCTCCGACTGGCCCCCCTCCTCCCTTCTGACCCCTCGGGTTCAGAGATCAGAAGGCGCTTACTGAAGATTTCGGAAGAATTAAGCGAGAGGGCTTTGCTGAGTGACTCCCCTACAGGTGTCCGTGCTGCGCCGCCCGCCGCCGCCGTCATGACCTTCCCCTTTCACCTTTCTCTGTGTACGTCTCTGGTTCAAGGTCCTTTTATACTCACGACTACATAGTACGATGAAATTCTTACTTATATGGTTTCTACAGACCTTAGTCCATCCTTCCATCTTCCCAACGCTTATTCGGTCCCAGAGCACAGGATGGATCACAGTTCTAAATAAACACAGCACTCTAAGCACAGCCGTCTGAATAGATATGAATGATACAGCATAGCCTAGTGAGGCTGTATACTTTCCCCTGGGTTGTTTTCACAAATTCAATCTCATTCTCCATGAGACACACAGACTTATAGACAGATGAGAGTCAGAGTACAGGGTCAACCAACATTCCAGATGCCAGGAGCAATGGGGATAAAGGGCCTCGCTCTTCCGACCATGAGATTCGAACCTTCTGATCACGGCCACAGAGCCACACACAGATCCAGTTTATAGCAATATGATGCCTCTCTAGGTTCCCCGAATGTTCTTAATGTTGCATGTTAGTCATTGAATAGTATGAATAGATTCTTGCTTTGTTGGTTCGTTGCGTAGCTTTTGCTATAGTACTACTTACTCCTGTACCTGGGCATTCTTTGGAGCTCCGCCCAGCTGCACTTATGTCTACTCAACTCCTTGACAGCACGTATGTTTGTTTTGTGCTACTTACCACTCTTGAACATCACTTTGGACAAAAGCGTCTTCTGAGTGATGTGAAGTTAGACGTAAGTAGCAACAAGAAATGTATCGTAGAAAATAGCAACACGGCATTTACATGTGCGAGAGGTACGTTGGAGGCAGAGCGGCTGCTGTGTTTTGCTCGCATGAATGAGAGCCAAAGACCGAGTCTTTCTGCCTTGCAGACTGCGTCTCCCCTGTGACTCCCCCATCCGACTCTTCCAACGCGGAGTTTGATGCCACCAAAATTCTGGGCTTCCCTGCAGATGTGGTCGCAGAGCAGCTGACCAGGATAGAGACAGTAAGTGTCACAGCCGGCGTTTGCTTCCACCTGCTGACTCACTTATTCTGATTTAACATTTTTCCGCATGATCTGAGCCTAGTTTGAAACGGAGCAATTCCTGTGTCTGTTCATCTCGCCGTCGAACGTGCGGAATCGGAGATAGCGTGTTGAAGGTATCTGCCTTTCATCCAGGATCTATTCCTGCACGTGGTGCCCTACCACTGCCTAGGCTCTCTGTGGTCCCAACGGGACAAGAAGGGGCGTGGGGGCATCTGCTTGTCCGTCAGGGCGACCGTGCGGCAGTTCAACCGGCTGGCGAAAGCCGTCACCGCCTCGTGCCTGTGGCATGTGGATCTGCGGACCCAACAAAGGGCCCGGCTCCTGGAGAAATGGATCAGCGTGGCAGAGGTAGGAGGGAGTAATGTGTTAGTATAATAACTATCCATCTTCCAACCACTTAACCAGTACATGGTCACGGGGGGGGGTGGGTGGGTGTATATCCCAGGCAGCAAGGTTGGGGTGCGCCCTGAACAGGAGGCCAGTCCATCGCAAGCTCACATACACCCACAATGATACACTACAGGCACTTTAGAGACACCATTTAGCCTGAATGTATGTCTTTGGACTGTGGGAAGGAACTAGAGAGGAACCTGTGCAAATCAGCTAGAGAATGCAAGAAAATCCACAGCGTGGAGGTGGGATTCAAACCTACACGCTGGAGGTTTGCTGCAACCCTGCTACCCACCGAGGAAAGCTGATTAGAAATAATGTCAATCAACAATAACATTAGAGACACATCTTAAACCTGTCGTGTGAGAAAAGAGCCTATTTTTACTCTACTCTAAAGCTATAAAAGTGAAGGATACCAGTTGTCTCACACCCGTGTCATAGCCCAGTGTATGTCTCATGCTCTTGGCAAATGCCTGAATGCAGTGCTCATTTCATTATAGGAGTGTCGTGCCAGGAAAAACTTCTCCTCTGTGTATGCCATCGTGTCTGCCCTGCAAAGCAACCCACTGCACCGACTAAGGAGGATCTGGGCGGAGACAGACAGGTGTGTGCAGGCTGTGTAACGTACATCCTCAGGTCTGCCGTTCTGGCAAATTATAAAGGCGAGTTACCAAAATACCGATGCGGCCCTTTCCTGTTTACCAGCATAGAAACCAATCAGCAGCATTCACTATATTCGGGAGCACCGGGAATTTGAATAGGCGTAAAAGTTGACGATAGCTAGTATTTTAAAAGTGTCATGGCCAGACGATTGCCAGACGATTGCCGTCTGCGTCGGTCTGGCTGGGCCTGAGTCGCAGCGAGAGAAATGTCTTCTGCCAAATGAGACACAGATGAGCTGAATGCAGTGTTCTCCTTTCCTAATTCCACGGCGACAGGGAAGCGCTGAGGAGATACGAGGAACTCTCTGACATCTTTTCGGAGAAGGACAACTATTCGCAGAGCAGGGAGCTGCTTAGAGAGGTGAGCCCAGTGATGGCAGCGTTGAATAAAGTGCATATTAGCCGAAGGGAGCGCAGTGCACAGGATGCTTGATGTGAAATAAACAGGTAAAATAAAAATTCTGACAAATGCTAAGTGGTAGTCTTTTCAGTTTTTTTCCCAGCAAATCTATTGCCATGTAAGCTTGTAGCATCACAAAAAGAAAAAGTGAGTTTACTTTATTGGCTGTAGTTTTAATAATAATAGTAATTAATGTCTTATATTTTTAATCAATATATTAATATCTATAGTCATCTGACTCCATTATTTCCATCCATATGGATCTGAATGAGATGGTGCAGAAAGGGTGATGTTTAAGCAGTGTGTCATTCCAGAATAGGATTGATAGGGAACACTTTGTACATTTCTGATAATGCACCTTTTGCTTTTAAAAATATGGCTGTCAGGAGATGTATTATGGAGTAAGGAGGTGTTTGAACTATCAAGTGATCCTGTGATGTGCGCTGGCCGTTTAGCGGACGGCTCCCGTCGTGCGGGATTCAGCTTGTTATTTATGAAATGTCCTGCGGACGAGGAGGGATGTGCGTCCTTGGCGGATGGAGTGTGACGCTCTCTGCGCCGAAATGAGGGTTCATAGCACGGATGGAGTGACGTAGCGATGTGTTTGGTCCCCGCGTTCCAGGAGGAGACGTCACAGCTCGTCAGTGCCGACACGAAGACCAACAATAGAAGGCCAACTGGGGTAAGGAGTACTGTGTTCAGGCTACCTGTGTTAATGAGCACATCTGGAGTAATTACAGTGCATTTTTGTGACTTTGCTGTTACGCTCTTAAGTGGTGTAAGTGGCGATCCGTCTATGTTTCAAACGCCTTTTGAGTATAGGGTCATGGGGGGGGCATAGTGGAAGAGAAGACAGGACAGTTGCTAGTCCATCGTAGGACAGACAAATGCACATAATCACACCCAATCACCTGCTCTGAGCAAGTCTGAGATGCCAATTAACTGCATGTCTTTGTAATGTGGGCGGAGCCCAGAAACTCTGTTGGAAATCAGCACAACACAAAGGGAGCAGCGAAGCTCAGCACAGGCATGCGGAACAGGGCAGCATTCTGACCCCCAGTGCCACCCCTCAAAGCACCATGACACCAGACACCCTTAACCGTAATTAACCAGTTTCCCATCTGCATCACTCAGGCCGCAGCCCGGGGCACCGTCCCCTATCTGGGCATCTTCCTGACCGATCTCATGATGCTGGACACTGCCGTCAAGGACAGGCTGGAGGTGAGGCAGTCTGTCTGTGTCCCCGCCCACGCCCGGCTCTGCCGCCATGCCATTGGTCAGGATTGTTATTGATGACTATAAATAAACAAAGTGGTTCCGCTCTCTCTTACAGAATGGGTACATCCACTTCGACAAACGAAGACGGGTACGTATGGCGTGGGGGGGGGAAAGTTTATAACGATCTAAACTCAGTAATTTAGATGTAGCTACAAATCAGATTCTACTGTTTTACGCTTTTTTTGGGGGGGACAAATATCTGAAGGACATCTGTTTGCCTCCTCCCTCTCAGGAATTTGAAGTCTTATCGCAGATAAAGTTCCTGCAGACTTCGTGTAAAAACTGGTCTTTCGTGGCCGATGAGTCTTTCCTCGAGTGGTACTACAGCGTTCCAACTCTGAGCGAAGAACAGAGGCATGTATACCGCTCAACATTTGAAATACAAATTCGCATACTGCACATTACCTCTCACTTTCTTAGATTAGAACCCATTTGCTCTTCTTTTAAAAAATGCATTTTCTTCTCAATTTGAATTGCCTCTGTAACAATGTCAGTTTAATGGAGCGTGTTGTCACAGTTACAGACTGTCCAATCAGATCGAGTCTGCTTCAGATCCCAGCCCTGGTCGTGCCCTGAATCCCACAGTTGTCATCACACACTGCACAGAGTAAGTAAGCCTTGTTCCTTAACAAGTTTTGCCCCAAAACGTTATGGCAAATGAATGTAGACTGAGGGTCTCTACATGATATTTGGTGAACAAAGGGCTGTAGGGTATGTGTGTGTGTGTGTGGGGGGGGGTGTTTAGCTGTCAGGAAAGGGAGAAATATGGTCAGATGAGGTTTATTGAGTTGAAGAGGAACAGAATCCTGCAGACGCTGCATGTTGGCTGGACGTGATCTGAATGCCATAGAGGTTCAGATGAAATGGGTCCCAGCATGTCTGTACGTTACAGGTTTATATTGTGGGTAAATTATACAACAAAGCTCATGCAAAAGTTATTGCTTCATGTTGAGAGCATTTGGCCGCTGACGCTAATGCTAAGGAAACGGCGACGTCTGTATTTTATATTATCAGTGTAATGTTGAGATGGCCATTTTGTAGCACTGCGCTCCGGAGAGCCGAGCCATTAGTTGACCTCAAAATCTTAGAGGATGTTTCTCTTTTTCATGTCCAATCTGTTTTTTTTCCCCTCTTTCTCTCTCCTCACCGTATATATAAGGAGCTCTAGGCAGCTGTGTTGGGATGGAAGCTCTATAAAATACATGAATTGTACCCAGTGTTGTTTTAACAAGCGTATCCCTGGTGCCTCTGTTCCTCCCAGCATTCTTACATCAGTGGTCGGTCCGTCTATTGAGAGTGAAGCTGTCTTTGACTTCCCCTCCCCCGTCAATCACCTCCTCTCCAAACTTGCCAAGGTATCACAGCGATGTTTGACCTCACAATATGTGCAGAGTTTATTTATAGGATATTTCTCAGTGAATTCCCACAGATATGTATTCCTATGTTCTATGTTTGTAAGGTATAGTTATTTATTATTATTTGTGTCACTATGGAGGAAGCTGCTACATTTCATTGTACTTGTGTAACCCACTTGCATAATGACAAATTCCAATCCTTGATCCTTGAATTATGTATTATCTGTGTTTTAAATTACAAGTTGTCACTGTTTACAGTGTTGAGGGACCCTTATAACTCCTGACATTTCAGTCCTTATAACTCCTGACATTTCAGCACATGAAATCACCATCGGTTTCCTGTCTGGATGTCGAATCCTCCCCCCCTCCGACCGATCCCGCTCTCACCTACGTCACACCAGAGAGCAGCATCAAATCGCATCGGCGGTCCGTCTCCTGCGGGAGCCCCCCCACCAGCAAAGGCCGAGAGGCTGGACCGGACATGCGAATCATCCGGATCCGGATGGATCTGCAGGATGGGAATTTGTACCGAAGTATAATGGTATTCATGATGTGATTTTGATTGAACTGAAATATTTTTTAAAAAAAGGAGTTAATTGAGGTGTTAAATTTAGGATGGAAATCACAGCAAAGGAACTCAGATCTAGTGGTATAACTTGCTTGTCTGTACAAACTCAGCGGTGTGGTATTCAAAAAGTCAGACGGGGTGTTTGCCAAAGAATCGCTTTCCCCTTATCTTTTAAACACATGCCCATATGTTATTTAAAGAGCAGCTGCATCACTCATACTTTTATTGCTATTTTCTGTTCTTTCAGGTGACAAGCAATGACAAGACCCCATCTGTAATCAGCAATGCATTAGAGAAGCACAATCAGGATCCGAAAGAGGCGCCCAGATATGAGCTGATCCAGCTGCAGCCGGATGGAAAAGGTAGAGGCAGGTCATGTCATCCCCGGAGTCAAGCGAGGTCATTTCTGTAGATACCACGAGCTGCAGCCTTCGACTTAAATGCGCCTCGTATTGTAATGTAACATTCGGGCCGATCTGATTTCATGCGGTTTAGTTCCTTTGGGTTCTCTGGGTGTGCCGTACTGACTCATGTGCTTTGTGTCACGTGTCTTCATACCTGCCAGAGCTGAAAATGCCTTCTGCGGGAAATGTCTTCTATGCTATGACCTCATCGAGCGTCGACTTTCTGTTGAGGAGGCAGGGAGGGGGCACACCTCTTGGCTCTCCATCAGTTGGCACCGAGACCAGCGCCACCTTCCCCCGGATCAAGGCTAAGGGGAGGAGGCTCGTAAGGACGCTCTTTTGACATGATTCTTCAGCCTCTCCTCCACCCCTAGACTCCGCCTGGTGTCTCCACTGAATCTTGGTGCTTGTTAGCTGATGCAATGTTTCCCAACCCGGTCCTCAGGGGCCCCCAGTCCACGTTTTTGCTCCCTCCCAGCTCCCTGCAAGACAGGGAGGAAGCAAACACGTGACCCGTCTGGGTGTCCCTGAGGACCGGGTTGGGAAACATTGCAATATCAAATAGTGCAAAAGCATCCTAAATCTGTGTCATTTTGCCTTAATTTGGCTACAAGGTGACACTGGTGGCTTCTTAAACACTAACCAGAATGAGGAGTTATCGATATTAACTTAATGCAAAAGTCACCTTCATTATTACAATGTCATTGCAACCCTAGCAATGAGAAAACCATTAACGTGCTATGCAAGCGAAGACCTGGGTCGGGGTTAATGATCAATACACCAGCATATCACTAGAATATCTCATCCCATCTTAAGACGTGGCTTATTGAGGGCTCCTCTGTCTACCTCAAAGGGGAACCTTTGCTCTGGAGCTTAGCTTTAGTCAGCAATTGCCTGACCTGAAGATGAGAATGTTACCTGTCCTGATTTCAGATGGGCACCAATGTTTTGCACTTCAGAAAATTATTGATACTACTACTTATGTACAAACAGAGCAAACTGTTGAGAGGTAAAACCTGTAGAACTAATGTCATTAATGCTATTATTCTCTTTCATGGCATAGTCACTGATCTGTTGTTCTGCATCAAGGACAATACAATCAGTGAGCATTTTAGGATTACTGGAAGGTGGGGAACGACACCTAACTGACATGCAGCTCTACAGGTCCTGTACGCACTGGTGATGCTGCCTGAGCTCATGATTGAAAGCCTAAAATATTTATGATTTTTGAGTGCTGCAAAATACTGATTATTTACCTTCCAAAATTGTGGATTTTTAGGTAAACCCACAAGACACGCAAATTTGTAATAGTTTGCCGCTTATGGAAATTAAGCCAAAGCCACAAGCGTCCAAGCATGTTTATTATTGAGAAATCCCCTGGTCAGTATATGGTGAGAGCAAACATTACATCATCATAACATCATAAATCCTTTATGTTTCATCATGAGGTCAAGCTGAAAAAATGAGTGCGGTCAACGCAGAAACAAAGTAGCTTAAAATTCCAGGGAGTAAAGTGCATTTTATTTTTGGTACATCGTAATACACTATGATTTTTTATTAACTTTTTCATATCTATGTATGTATTTATCAATGTATAAAGAGTGTATTTTTGAAGGTGTGTTGACAACTTCTGAATTGTGTTTACATTTCCCTCAAAACATCCAAACTAGATTGTGAAGTTTATTGGTAAGAGTACCGACTGTAAAACCTGTTAGATTTCCCTTCTTTTCGCAGAGTAAGGCCAGAGTAATATAGTGCACACTGAAACACAAAATGTACAAAATGACCAAAAGCATTTGTTTGGTGAATAGACCTCGTCGATCTTTACCTGGTTTATTGAATGTTATAATAGATTTGTCACTATACATTTGCCGTATATTTAACGGATCAGAATGACAAAACATATATGTGTTCGGCGGCACTGTTGTTCTTCTGTTTTGGAAGATTTTCCCTCTCCCAGTTTGATACAATTTCCCCGGTACACAGTATACAGGTGATAGATTAAAACACACACAGGTGCACACCAGTTAACATATGGTTTGTCCTACAGCAGGAAGCTGGGTTTGATCCCAGTCAGGCCAGGCTAGAGGTCTGTGATGACGAGGCCCTATCATGTTCCGGGTAAAACAGCTGGGCCTCTATCATTGTGCAGCCACGCCTGCCGTCGTCTTGGCAACTGCAGAAGGGATCACACCCTCCTACTGTGTTACACTGTTTGGTGACTCCTGTAAAGCAGAAAGACGCGGGTGTCCGGCAGCACACACTAAGGGGAAGGTGTGCACTAATATTTTGCCCTTCGGTGTTTTTGAGGGCGAGACCTACAAAGGGATTAATCGGCCATTCCCGGCTGGCGAGATACACGCATAATTTGAAAAGCTACTCAAGATAAATGTAGTGTCACTATTTAAACATTGCATGCGTCAAGAAATTTGAGTGCAAGACTTTAAGTCAAAATCAGTCCATTTTCGTTCGCCGCAGTAGAAACACTATCTGGAATTTTCAGCACTTTCAAAGCATAAAACGGGGGTGCACATCAATCAAAGTGGCAACGGAAATGGTTACATATATGCCGTACAAATGAACAGATGCAGATGAGACGTCTGATCTCATTTGACGATCCTGTACATACTCATACTCAAGGCTGTGCTTTTCACTTTTTATTTGTGTCAAACTGAAGACAGTCACCTGTCTGTAGAGGAAAACACAGAATGGAGAACCAAGCTTTAAGCCCGTTACCCATAACAAGGCTATCCTAACTTGGGATAAAGAGACCGGTAACAGACTGTGCCATGGCGTAGCATGTAGCATGTAGCGTGCCCGTTAGCCGACTCTCGCTAATGACGCCGCTTGGGCATCATGGCGTGCGTGTGGCTTGGTGGCGCTGATGATGGTTCTGCCTTTTGGAAGGTGACACCTGAAGTGTGGGTCACGGGGCTGAGAGGACAGCTGACACTCGAAGCGAATTACATTATGCTAATAGCCTGCAAGTGCCTCACTCTGCTCTCTTTAGAGAGTGTGCTAACTGCATATATTATTACACACACATATATGTCTGTGTGGCCTATGGTGCTGGAGCAAAATACGCTGGTTTGTACCCCACCCCAGAAAGCATATGTGTGTGTGTGTGTGTGTGTGTGTGTGTGTGTGTGTGTATGTGTGTGTACAGGCAATCCCTGGGTTAAGAATGTTTGATTTGGACAATTCATGCGAACATAAAGCCTATTATGTAAAAAATCTGGGTTAAGTACAATGGTTCGCAATAACGAACACACAATATTTTTGTGATGCTCATGAAAACATCGCATGGCTTCAGCAATTCTTCAGCTGGAGGCACAATACATTACCATATATAGTTACTTTTATTATTATTATAATGTAGTGTATTATTATATGTTCCGACATATCTACAGACTTAAAGACAGACTTAGGGATCTCATTTATAACCTAGGGATCACCTGTGTGTGTGTGTGTGTGTGTGTATTTGTACATATATATGGATACACTGTATGTTAGTCTGTTACGTTATTGTTTCTTTGTTTATCAAATGTAGCCATTCCTATGCTACAGTATGTCAAATGTGCTGTGTAATAAATTACTTTTCTTCACATTCTGGTTTGGTTATTATGTTTACCTGCCTGCATCCATCACACAGTACACAAGGAAGAGGATACCATGAAAGTGACAGCCCTATATGCAGCATATATAAATTATATACTGTAATACTCTATAAAATAACAGACAGAGCCTCAGTCTATTATTATAGGACATGATAGGCTGAGTTTTTCAGATCCCATTTATGCCTTAAAATATGACTTAAAAAGTCTATACATGTGGCCCATTTTAAGAAATGATGCAATATTTAAAGAGAAAGATCAATTACTGTAAATGTCAGCAAATACTTTCATTGAATAATCAGACTGCAAAATTCTAGAATGATTTTTGGATGCAGTTAAGACCGGCAGACCTTCCTTTATGTACCAGACTGGTGCAAATATTCTTAAATTTTTCAGGTGATGTAATATGCAAAACTTGGCATGTTTGACTGAAATGCCTTTTGCAATGTCTCACACCCTTTGTAACGATCTGCTTTTAGCTCAGTCAGACGTTGTGTAGCGGGAGGCAACAGGCACCGCCACGGCAAACGCCTGGGGATCCTTCCCACTTCAGAAAGAGACCAGTCTGGATACGTTTGTGTGGTAATATAGAGGACACCCTGAACTTAGGCTGAGGGCTTTAGGAGACACCCTTCTAACCTGGGGAGGTGCTGTACACGCTGTTTAACTGATAAAACTCACAGCCATTACCTCCACAGCTCATTTAAACCGGCCGTTCCTTTAACCCCATTACAAAGGTCCTGCTTTTATCTGCCTCTCTGTTTATCTGCTGCTGCGATTGGCCGCACGCTGTATATAATAGAGTAGAATCAACTTTATTGTCATCGGACAAAGTACTAGTATTCAGACAATGAAAGACTGTTTGATATTAATCCAGAAAGAGCAAAACAGTGCAAAAATGCTAGATACAGCTACAGAATTAATGAATGCAGCTATTCATATGCACGATGCAGTGATATATACTTGTATATGTAGGATATGTAGGACAAAATGATTGGCAAGTGACAGGATATGTACAAGCAGGTATGCCTAATTAAGTAGGCACTGAGCTGCATACTATATGTAAAACTGATTTTACAGTATACTTTTAACTTTTGGTTAATCGAATCAGGCCCAGAACATGTGCACAGGGTCTGACCCCACACCCAGCCGGTAGCCCCTCTCGAAAGCCGACACCCGACTCGTTATCCTGACTGCTACCCGTCTGCCCAAGCTGACAGGCCTGTCTTTTATTTTTGTCCCTCCCTACGGGTTTTGGTGAAACTCGCCTCCTCTCCTGTGTACTAAAGCCTCACCATGCCGGAGTCACATGGCTCTGTCTGCCGCCACACCTGGAGACGTGTCGCGCGGCCGAAATGCAAATGTTCTCCGGGGAGAACATACAGCTGATTTGTGTACACAGATTTGTTTTCCTTTTTAAGCCGAAGTCAATTTTAAAATTCTCTATGCATTTGGGAAGGCAGATCTCCCATTTTTACGGTTTCCCTATTCTCGTGTTTCATTTTCTCCCGTGGACCGGTGTCGTTACATCAAGCCTTTGTATCCGATTGGCCGCCGCCTGCAGTGAAGATGCCTTCCCTTAATTTCCGGAGGCTGACATCACCCGCGAGACACCTGACACGTCGGTGACTGTCATGGCAGGAATCCTCCGCAAGAAGCAGGCTGCCGGGACGTAATCAGGCCTGTGAGAATGAATCCTGCATTTCACAGAGCAGCCTTTCCACACATGGAGCTGCCAAACACAGATTCACTTTTAGTCAACCAGTTGACGTTTTTACCCAAATTGAAATATGTTATTTTCTCCATTCATATGACTGGATATTTGGAATGATTTGGATCAAGTAACTTCCTCATGGGTACTACAGCTGCCACCGTCCCTTCTGTCCCACACATTCCACACCATTTACAGCACAGTCAGTGTAACCATGTCTACTTCACCGTAGCAACAACAGATGGAATTTGGAAGCCCAGTTCTGCTTTAGTGCCACAGTAACCATTATGACAGTATAAAAAACCCTATTGAACTACATTGAACCTAAATGCTACATACATATAATACTTACAAAGCAAAACGATTATTTTTGTTCTCTGTTCAAGCTGTAACTAGCTGTAATCCTGTTCGAGTTTAAAACTAGTAAAACAAGAATTTAAATGCCATAAGGTCATCAGACGAGTCCAATCACGCCCTACTTTATGATGCCACCATTTTTGGCATCATAGGGGAACAGAAACTCTACTTTATCAGTTTTGCATTTGTGTTTTTCTTTCAGAAGTGACATTAGCAAATAAACGGTATACGGCTTTGGGTCAGCACGTAGGTGTTGGGGCTGTGGACTCGTAAGCACCCACGGGGGGGTGGGGGGGGTTCGCACTCCTGCTGTGTCAGCTCTTGTTGGCTCACGTGTGGCAGCAGTGATAAATCAAGCTCGCCCAGATTCGCGTACCATCAGCACACATGAAAGGACCTTGCAGCTGCGGAAGAGTTACAATCACTCACACTGGCGCCACAATGCGATATGACATATTGTGCTTGTCGATGTGCTAGCGCCTCTTCCACGTGCCCAGTGCCTCACGTTCTGTGCCGCTTCTGATAGGCTCCAGGCCGCCTGCAAGCCAGACCAGGATGAGTGGTTGGAAGATGTATGGATGGGTATTATACATATATTTTCAAAAAGATTGTTGGGGGGGGGTTCTTCTCTAACCTCTACTGTGTGTGGAGTTTGCACGCTTTCCCCATGTCGAGAAGCTTTCCTCCCACAATCCGAAGACACGCAGACAGGCTTACGGGCATCAGAGAGTATGACTGAGTGAGCATGTGCAGGCACAGCACCAGGCAGAAGTCTGGACACGCCCACAGATAGAAAGATTTAAGTTTTGGAATAATTATAAAGACGTCAAAACTATAAAGTCACGAAAGTCACATATGGGTTAAATGCAGAGGACACATTTCATTGTTGCGCACTGTGTGCTGTGCTGTGGTGTGTTAACAATGACCACTGATCACCAAATTCTAAATTCTATAAAATAATACATGGAATTATGCAAAAAAAAGTATTGAACAAAAAAAAATTTTTGTTTGGTGGGGGGGCAGCTCTATGGGTTTGGACTCTGGTTCAAATCCCTGGGTCAGCAGAATGATCCCGATATTGGGCCCTTGAGCCGGGCCCCTAACCCCAATTGCTCCAGGGACCCGCTGACCCTACAGTCTCCTGAATGCCAGTTTCATGATGCTTTCCCAGCTGTTCTGAAGATATATTCTGAGCACTCATTGGCTGTTTTCCCTCACTATCTGCTCTAACGCCTCCAAAATCATTTCTACTGTGTTTAGGTCAGGTGGCCAGGTCATGTGATGCATGTGATGTCATGTCCAAACGACTGACTGGTACTGTATGTGACCTGTGATGGACTGGCATCCTGTCCAGGGTGTTCCCCAGCCTTGTATTCCGTTCTTCCGGGATCCTTTCTCCCCTGTAACCCTGCCCAGGAAGAGTGATTAGAAGATGGATGCATGTATGTGAACAAGCAAAACATAAAGCTTTTCTGCTGCTATTAAAAATTTAATTCTGTACAGTAACATTAAAATCAGATTTGTTTTATTACACTTGCAGTAGCGTAAACCACACATAGATCAGTCACGAAATGAAGGAGGACTGTAAAGTCCCACGCTGCACCACAGTAACAGACCCAACCGTGCCCCTAATTTCAACACCGACATGAAAGGCCACCTTTGAGAGGTAGTATGAGATAAAAACAGAGGTGATCACCTTGCTGGCATGTTGGTCGTTTCCACCAAAGTGATACACTTTGCAGTGTATATTCTCCAGCATGCCTTTCTCCTCGACAACGCTGTTCAGCATCACCACTCTGGCCAAACACCCTTAATCGTTCTCAGTTACAACGGAAGTAAAACGATCACTTCAGCAGAAAATCCACTTTAAAATCATAAGCCTATAGCTCTCATCTCCAGCATCAGCTCTATGCCCCCCCCCCCATAAAACACAGGTTTTATGAAATGATGTAATCCCCACCTCTGCTTCACTGTATGCAGACATAGTTACAAGCACTTGTGTACAAGCGCTGCAAGGTGACACATCTGAGGGTATTAAAGGTACCGCTTTGAATGCGAATTGCCAGTCAGGCTGGAGGCACTGCGGCTGTTCTTCCTAACGCTGCCCCAACATGAAACGTCCATCACCTTTAACTCGGCTCTCCTGCAGAGTCACAGTGAGGAGCAGTGAAGATCCCCGCAATGACTGACAGCTGTGCTGGCCAATCAGCCTAGCCTTATAACCAGAGATTCTCCGTTTATCCTCTAGGGGAAAATAATTGTGAAACTCTGTTCTGTGGGTCCTTTTGTTTGTTACACATTGCTCATCAGCACACAAACTACCTAGCTGAAGAATTAGTTTAATTAATGGTTTAATGGGTTTTGCCAATTTAAAGCTGTACTTATGATAAGCCTGGAGGCACTTAAGCCTCTTCTAAATGCTTTAATGTAGCCGACAGATTGATCCACAGATGGATCTTCTAACGACTGCGTTCATTGTTTTTGCATATTAGTGCATTTACCTCATTTTCAATCACTTTAACAACGGTATTAATTGCACAGACATATTTAAAATCATGTAATGATAGTAACTTGCTACAGGTTTAACGAAATTTGAAAATGATGCATGACATTTTTCTGACCATGCCCCCCCTTCCCTCCCAGTACATCAGTCGTCACAGGGGTAGTAGTCCACCAGCGCCGCCCTGTAGGCCTTCCACACCACTGCGTTGTTCTGGCACACCGTCCCACCACCCCTCTTCTCCTCTGCCTCGTTCCTGTTGATGTCACCCACGCATATCCAGTTCCTGGAGTTGTCCTCCATGGTGACGGCCCACTTCGAGTGGTCCTTGTTACTGCTGTATTCTTCCACCGTTCCGGGAGAGAGCGTCTTCGCGTTGAAGACTTTCCAGCCTTCGGAACAATCTGAGGGCAAGACGCCAGTGGACAGGCGCCAGAACTGGACCAGCAGGTTGGACTTGAGCGTTGGGGCCACCCAGGAGTGGTAGAGGTCTGTGCAAGGGGGAAATTACAGTTCAGGGTTTAACACCTTATATTAAATAAACCTACCCTGTATACGGCAATGACGTAATAAGCCATTTAACACCAAAGTGTCATTTTAGCAAGAAAAAGTAGAAATGTCTTGTCACCATTATTTCTCAGCTAAAATTAAAAAAATGTGTTTGATATTTAGCTTATTTCCAATGAGCGGCAGCCTGAATGAACATTCTAGCATCGTTGCCATAAATAGACCATGTTAACAGCTACATTAATATCTATTACAAAGCGAAGCGGATCCCCAGGGTGCGTCTCTGAATATAAATACGCCGGAACACCGGCCTCGTTTTTTTACAGACTTAACAGAGACATTTCAGCTGTTACTTCTCATGTCTCCTCTTAGCGGCGCGGTTAGAAGTGAACGTGGCAGTGACCAAAGCACGCGGCTCTTCTGTATTCCCACAGCAGAACTGCGTATCTGTTTTATCTCGACTCCTCGATTCTCAAACTGTTTCTTTTTTTCCAAGTGTATCACAAGAATGGATCATACTCCTTCGTGCGCATCAAGGGACTCACCGTGTTCAAACGATGCACTTTTTGCAAAGCTTATGAACTCGGTTCCGGCCAAGGAGGTGAGAGACACGCTACGATTGGAGGAAATTTGAGACAGGGCGATGGTGGCGTTTCCCTTGGCGCTCTGGCTCCTGCTACAGAGCTCCACCATGGAAGGCAGAAGAGAGGCCAGGGAACTGGGAACATTGCAGTCATAGATAAGAGGCTCATTGATCGCCAGCTGCTGACCTATAAGACACGTGAAGAGATAAGAAATTAATAAGCTCTGCAGATTCTGTGCTGCTGATTCATAATGCTGCCTGGTGCATAATCACTGGTTTGTCCTTATGTACTGTAACTTTACCATGTGGTATCTATTCTGAAAACAGACTGATCACTTTCACTGATGAACTATTGTATCTATCAGCCTGTGTGATTAAAATGCCATCCACTTTAACATCTCTGTATTTAACAGATGTCTGTATACATATTGATGATGTTCACAGAGCTGAAGAGGATGCTAGCATGTGCCACCTGGGTCACACTGAGACGATGCCCCCTTCTGTTCCTGTACTGCGAATCCTGCATAATTTCCCTAATTACCCAAACGTCGAGAACCAACTTATTTGCAGGTATTTTGCACATAAAAACTCAATCACATGAGCACACAGCACACAAGGGTTCCTTTCACTATCACTATGGCAACGGAACCAGTTATTTGGGCTGCCAGCTCCATTAAAGGGGTAGCGCATAAAACCCGCACCACTACTCACTTCCAGCTGTCATTATAATAATTTGTCCTTAACAGAACAATAGCAAAAGTATGAGTCAAGAAGGAAAAAGTATTACTCTCACAGTGAATGTTAATATATATCATATATATATATCATAGCATATACTTACCAATAGTCTCAAACATATCCAAAGGGTAAGTGACACAGATGAAGTTCTGTCCGTTCTTCATCCCTGTTTCTGGATATTCAAATTGACCTGCTTCCTTGGCATTTGGAAAATGGGGTGTACTATGGACTAGCCAGAATCCCTGGGTCTTATCCAGAAGAACAACACCTTTACACATTAGAAACGTAAAATTATTAATTTTACATATTATTATGTGGCAAAAAATTGAAGCTTGATAAAGAAATACACATTGCCATCCACTGAGGTTTTGATTTACAGTTTGTTTGAGGAAACGGCATTCAGGCGTCTTTTTACCTTTGCAAATATTAACTAATAATCTGTGACCACAAGGTGTAGCCATTGAGCATTTTGTGCAGAAGAATACAACGATATTAAAAACGCTGACTTTTTCAGATTTTGTATGTTCAAACATAAACATACCTACACACCAATCATTCTGATGCATCGATAAATAATTAATGATTCTATTTATTCAGAGAAACATTTTTCACGAGGCCATCTTACCTTTTGTATGGCCTTTCTCATGTTCAAACAATCCTTTCCCCTCAGGTTTCTGGTCATTGTAGAGGATGTATGCAATATCATCACCCTGAAAGTTACCCAGAAAACAGATATAAGTAATCGTCCGTTTATCCAGCAAGACACTTTAAGAGAAAAAAAACAACAATATCTGACTTGGATGAAAATGTTTTTCACCTGGGATATGAACATTTTAGTGAAGAATCTAGGACAACACAACAGTCCCAAAAATCCAAATCAAAACACTACTGAAAATACAAATGTCATACAATGAAATATAAATGTCATGTGTGTGTTTGTGCATTTTTGGGGAGACTTCTGTTTCAGAGGAGTGGAAGACAACTGTAGTTCCTCAGAGTAAGTAAGAAACCACATAACCTGTTCCTCATTTAAGCTACCCGCGCTAAGAATATATTTGTGTATAGGCCCTGTATGGAGAACCTGTATCTACACACCAACAGATAACATGCTTTTGCTTTTGCTGAAACTAAAATCACAGCAACATACATCCAAAGACCCCTTGTCTAGAAAGGATCCCTAAGGACGCCTGGGACATATGAAGGTCACGTTATGTTTTAAAAAAAAAAAAAAACAACCATACAAGAGAAAACAGAAGAACAAGTTGGTTCCTGAATAAATCCATGCATGGTCACATGTACGCTGGTTGCATCACTCTGATCCTTTGTCTGAAAGTCTTGAAAGCTTTTAAGACAGTGTTACCATACAGTGTTGTACGAAAATCTCTCTATATAAAATTAGGTAGCATGAGTCACAGACAGACCCCTCTCTCTTCATAAAGCTGACCCACTGTCCTCCCCAGAGCTCCCACACTGTCGTTCACCAACACGGCTCCATCTGCCCATTGGTCACTCCCTGTGTCCATCAGCAGGTATGTCAGCCCATCGCTATGTTGTTGATGAGAGAGGTGTGGGAGTTTGTAGAGATAGAACCTGAGACAGAACAACACCAAAAATATGAGCATGAACTCCGGCTGAAAATTCCAGTTGTGATTTCTGTAGACTGTTGTGACAAGTCTGCACTGGTGAATAAGACATCACATGACCAGAAAGAACCGGCACAATGAGAAAGCGATTAAGCGGTAGATAGTTTAAGTTAGCTAAATCTCTACAGAAACTATCGATCGGGAGTCAACGTAGTGTAGAATCATGCTAATAAATTCCAGGCAACGTATCTTCCTATCAAATTAGAAATATTTGCGCAATTCCCGAGTATTCTTTGCCAGGTTCACCACCTAAGCCTACAGATTCACAATAACATAACAAAATTTTGATGCGCCCTGCGGTTTTCTATATATATGCTCACCAGTCAGTGGGTTTTCCATTGTCACTGAAGCAGGAGATCGGTGAGGCAGCATCGTCCAATGGCAGGTGAAACAGCAGGAGACAACCGAGCAAAAGCATGATCTGAAAATGACGATAAAAGTCAGAAGTTAAAAGTAATTTCACACAACCAGGCGTTCACCCAAAGAAAACTCGTACACTACGCGGGTAATTTAACTAATACAATTTTAACGACGTAACGAATTCAAATGTGAGTTAATCAAACGTGACTTCTGCGCAGCTACAGTAAACACTGTTATCAATACTGTTGTTTTAGGTTCCGGCTGTCAAGCATTTCGCTAGTTACAGTACTTCTAAATAATCATTTTGTCTACCATCGAATGGCAGCCGCTGAGCATGCTGGACAAAGTACTGCAAAAGAGAAACTGGAAGCCGCGTTTGCCTGCTTTTGTAAACTGCACTCCTTCGCCGTCCTCCAGCCGCTGCGCGCTGCTTTAGTTGTAGCACTGACCTCCTCCATGCAGAAATTAAATTATTCGAAGGGGTCAGTAGTGAAAGGTGGAGATTTAAGTGACCGGGGCGGAGCACAGGGTATTTTGACCAAGCTGTGTACGGATAAAAGCGTTACGTCCATGGAATTAATTATTATTCTGGATCGAGATATACTGGAATGCCGCGGGAATGTACATTTCCTAAAACGAAAAAGTGCACATCTGAAAGCTACGAAGCAAGTATACTCATGTGGAAGAGACATACAGCCTATGTTTAGCCTACAATAAGGAAAGTGGAATAGTACCGTGCATATACAATGCCCTCAAGACTTAGGGAATAACTACGGGAGTTCCATAGACTAAGGGAGTTCCTAAACACTCAGATGAACTTAATAAAGTAATAGATAAATTGGAACATGCTTCAGTAACATTTTCGTAATACGAATTTCCAGGGGGTGCTAATAATTGTAGCATGTGGTTTTGTCAGATTACAGTATACGGCTGTCACTATCGATTATATTAATAATCGAGTAATCTACAATTGGACAATTGTTTATTTATATACATACATTGCAATTGACACAAGAGAGGAACCAACCACACATTGCAGGGTGCACACTCACTCACACATATAGATCTGCCGAAAAGGCATCCACACACGGGGTGAACGTGCAAATTCCAAACACACGATCCAAGCACTACACAACGCGCCACTGTACCGTCGGGCTTAGCGACGTTAATATCAACATGCCATTTCATGCACATGAAATTGTCACATTGCAAAGACTGCCATAGCTCTGCTGGGGTCAAACCATCAATGAAATGGGCTAAAACATTTTTTCTTAGTCACAGGAAACCGAACTTAGCAAGCTTTGCAATTTTAATGATAGTTCCCTTTCAGCGTTAGTTTCAGCTGGTATAGGTTTTAAAAATCAGTCTAAAGTTTACCGCCGCTGGTTTTGCATGAGCACTGTATGCGATCTCCATATCAGCAACATCATTTTCGCGCTTTCTGTTCTAATGATTCATAGACTGTTGCGCGTTTGTGAGAAAATCAGCAAAAAAATAGAGAGAAGCGAACAATTACTTATAACGAAAAACCGCTATATTTTACATTTGTATTTTATTGTGACAATGAGCAAAAGCAAGTGATTTGTTGCCACTGCTTTCTGTCGGCGCAACTCTGCAACACCAAGTTATTTGACAGACTCTTGGCAGATAATAAGTTAAAGGTAGATAAGTTCTACATTTGGCTATATAACTATAATTTTCAACTCCTAAATATCGCAATTTGATCTTTTTCTAGTCTCGTTCATACCTACTCAAAACACGCAATACGTTAACAAAAATATATGTAAAGTGGTTATTATGTAGGCCTACCATATTGTGTAGAATATTGGGCTAAGCGACGGAGAAACCTTCGTTTTAGCAACGATTATTATGACATACAGGAATCACAATAAACAAAATAAATTAAGTTGAAGTGATGATAAAGACAGGCTAGGTTCCTTCAAGAGGCTAAATGGGATATATCTATGGTATAACCTCACATTATTGGCTGAGTCCGTCAAACCTCAATTTTAATCCATCCATCAAATAATCGAGTAATCCTTACAGCTATAGAATACATGTACTTCAATTCAAGATTGGATTTCTTTCAGTTTTTCCAGTGTTAAGTTAATTTAATTCACTACATTTTTTTCATAATCTTTTTAGTCATCTTTATCAAGGGTGTCAATTAGTAGTAGTTCTGACGGGCACGATATTGTTTTGTTTTAAATATTGTATAAGTATCTGCTATTTTTGGCACTATTTTTACATTTTAATATTTTAAGATTTAATATGAATTAAAAACAAAAATGTGTGAGTTTAGGGTTTCCAGAACTATGTTGGCAGTGAATCACTGGCCTTAGGTTAGTGTTTTATTGATTTTTGTGTGTAGTAGTAGTAGTAGTTTTCTAAGTGTATTGCACTTTACCTGACAGTTCCTGCTAGAGTTCAGCCCAAAGAGTACATCATGCTAAACGTGATGGAAGACATCCATCACATCGGGTAGCCTCACGTTGATTCCACTCTGTATTATGAAGCCAAAAGGCTGAGAACTGGTGGACTGAAATCATAACAGTCAACATATTACAACTAAAATTTTTTAGGGGTTCAGCACCTGCTTTTTTGAGGAAGTACTTGTGAGTGTGTAGGCAAGATGGGGCTTAGTATGTTAAAATGCTATTAGTTTTCTTGCCATCAGTGGTCAGATAACTGAGAGACAACTTAGCTTTTGAGTCTCCAGTGTACAGTGTTGCATTTCCAATACTCTCCCTTCACGTCACTTTAAACAGTGTAGACCCTGCATAGGACAAAAGGCTATAGAAGATGGATGGATGGACTTTAGACTTTTAGGATAATAGTATACACCCCATCAAAGTCCCTGCAGTGTCATGCCTACCCATTTGCCTTGAGAAAGGTGTCTTTTTGAAATACACTTTATAAGGCCTTGAAATATAATTTAGGCATTAGAAGTACAAAGTGTGCAATTTGTGTTTGCGTAGCAGATTCTTGAAATATCCATACTGCTTTTGTAAAGAAAGCTATTGTTCTTGAAATTCTTTACAAAAATCGTAAATCTGTACGGACATATTTGTGATTTATAATCGCAGTCATAATCATCATTTAACTAGCGTGACTACAGTTAGACTGCATTGCTGACACACTGTATGCTCTAGTTCAGCGATTCTCAAACCGTAGGTCGTGATACAAATTTGGGTCATGGCAAGTTGTGAAAGGGTTGCAAGGCAGAGTTGGAAATGTAAGCATTTTAAAACCAGCAAGCTGCTATGCTAACTCACAATCAGATTTCCCAGCCCCAGTCCTAGAATTAACCTATATAAACAGGTCTTGGGCCTGCAATCGCTTAGCACAAAACTATTGAACAGTCAACCAATCCCAGAAGCCAAACCACAGATGCTTAATTTAAAATTCACTGGCACATCTAATCAGATTTGTGCAATAGGCATTGATTAGCATAAATTGCAGAGTGCACCCCGCATTTGATCATAGCATTAATTTAGAACTATACTTGATATAGGGTCGCGAATGACCTGGCGTGGTAAAAATTGGGTTGCAAACCACTGCTCTAGTTAGCACTTTGGCTCTATAGATACCACGAGTGATCATTTTATTGACATTTCATACAAAATCGAAATTGCATGATAGTGCTATTGACAGCATTCACACCATAGGTCATCTTTGGATCTTATTTTATTTAATGTCTACCCAGACCAGTAACACTCATAGCCTTTAAATTATATGACACTTACAGTGATGTGCCGTTTAATAACTTACATTTGAAAAATGGGTTGAAGCCGAAGTACTTTTCTGCTGTATTTTAGTATAAATATTTTGGTGACATTCATCAATAACTGGACTGAACAAGCACACACTCACATTGGCACACCATCCTAAACAATGGCTTACATGCACTGAAATGAGACAGATTGTACTTCAGAGAACATTTCAAATGCAGTTTGACACCCCAGGCCTCTTGTTACTAATTTATATCTCAACTGAACACATATATCAAAAACATGAATGGGTGACTCAAGCAGTCATGGACAGGCAGGTGCTATGAGTCCATGGGAAAGTCTGAGAAGCGTGAGCTGGGTAACAGGGAACCCCCCCTCCCTCCTGACTGCTCATTCGACTCCTCAGTCTCGGAGCGGAACGGGCATCTCAGTCCTCTGTTCATCCATCCGTCCTCCTTGGACTTTCAGCAACAGGGAGAAGAAGTCCTCGTCGTCCATTGGCCCAGGGGCAGCACAGCGCTGGTCTTCCATCCTTCCTTGGGCCTGAATATGGAACATAAAGGGGATTATAATCAAACAAAGTGACAGATGCCTCACTGTAAACTAATGAAAAGTACTGGAATCAAAAAGTCTATGGATGATGTTGCTGGTCTTTAATACTATGTTTATGACACAAGTGCATTACCTCTTAACACTTGTTAGAAGGTCTTAAATTAACATAAATTACCAGTCAAAAGTTTTTGCACAACACAGGTTTTTATCACTTTTCCATTTATTTCATACACTGTAGATTTTTTTATTCTTGTAAAGCATTTGAAAGTTGAATGAACAACTATAAACGAAATAAGTCAAACAAGTCTTTATAATATGGATAGAGGATGTAACAGTGAATGTCTGACATCCTATTAACTGGTTGTGTGGTGGTGGCAGTCAAACTCTAGGCTCTCCTTTAACTTTAAATGTGCTGGTTAACTGTTTCATCCCATGGAACAGAGCAGTATTTTATGTCCCTTGTAAAAAGAAATGCCTCGAATTTCCTCTGCTGTTATAACTGCTAGAGCAGACTATTTTGATGAATTAAAGATTATTTTCTTGCTAATAAAGGTACTCAAATGGTGAACATACTGTACATTTATTTCTTAAGTTATATTGAGTGTATTTTTAGTTATTGTTAAGTGAGTAACACGCAAAAGTAGAAAATATCAATGCATGCAAAAACTTTTGACTGGAAGACAGAGATAGATAGAAGACAGGTCGCTTTAAATTTCATACATTATGAATAAATAAAAGGCAGGGAAATGGTATGCAGATAAGCATTATGTTGGTTATTGCAACATTGTATTAAGGCCTAAATGTGTATCAACGTTTGTATTTTGGTATTGGAAATTAATAACATATTTGCACATGACATGAATTCCATTTAAGAAAGGTATCTGAAAATTACTTGAGAGGTTAGAATCATATTGTAAAGGTCTTCCTTTGGAACGGATTTGGCTGGTGCTTCCTTTAACACTGGATCCTTCAGGCTGTTCTTCCGTAGACTGATATTCCTCCAGCGAAGTACTCGTAGTCGTGTGGGGTCGCGTAACTCTGCCCTCTGGTCATCAAGCCGACGGCCTTGGGAGGTAGCCAGTAGCTCAAAGAACTCCTCCTTCTGGATTGATGTCATTGAGGAGAAAACCACTGTTTTTCAAGAAGGTGAGACAGAAAAGCTGGAATTAGTTGGACTTGATCAAAGTGTTCAGCTGTTTTTGGGACACAGTCCTCTGTGCTTCTGTACACTGAGCCTCTTTCAG